TAATGGGGGGAGATCATCCATGAGGTAAAGCGGTTAAAGGAAGAAAGCTTGAGGCCTTTATTGTAGGTGAAAATATGACAAATCGAAGCCCTTCTATGTTATCCTGAACTTAACTCGGGGTTTTGTAACTTCGAGAGGGTCTAAGTCTGTTTGCTCCTTGAAGCGTGGAACAAGTTCGGGAATTGTGATTCATTTCCATGTATGATGTAGACTGTGGTATCTATGACAAACAACAATCACCACTCTCAAATACTCTCACCTCACCAATACTCCATACACCGTCCCAGAAACCTGGGCCAAGACTCAAGGATGCACAAGTGAAACCAAACGGGGAAAAGCCTCCAACCAGGGTGGCCCTAGTTCCCAATTATTGAGATCACATGCAATGGCCTCAAACTCGGGGCTTACGCAAACCTGACCGCCTTGAACAGCCATCAAGGGACACCCTGGCGGCCACTTCAGCTGAAGAGACTCGAGGTATATCTTGACAGAATGCCTTGACTTGATACGTGGATTCGTACACAAAAAGTCTCGCAGGTCGGGCCAAGGGATGTAATCGATGCTCACAGGATGAGGATACGTATTCTGGACCTCGGTAGGAAGCAGCCACGGCGGTACATCCTTGAGAGTCATAGGATCAGGATGTAAGCGCCACTACGCGAAGGATTAGTATGCAGGAGATAATAACGTAAAGATGAACTCACTCTCATGAGACGATAGGCAAAAAAATACACCCCGAACAGAGTCTCCACACTGGCCATCTCAAAACCCTTGAGGAACGATGTCAGAAAACATGTGACTGCATTATCCCCGTAAGAGTGAAGCGTCATGTTAGGCAGCTCAGGGTTCCTCGGCAGGGACCTAGCGTGGAGCGGATCCTTGGGAAAAGCAGCATGGGTCTCGTAGAGAATCGCGAAACTCCGATACTCGAGACAATCGGCCTGCGAGTGATGCTGCACTCCGCATCGGCAATCGACGTGCGACGGCGTGGGGAACAAACTCGACATTACCTCCGGGACCTCGGCAGGCGGGATATCGTGGTGGTCTGCCGCACATGGAGCACCCGCCGGCGCAGCTCGTCGCCCTGCGGGGAAGTCCGGGGTCTCGACGCTCGTGTCCATCTCATAAGCCTCGCCAGGGGGTTTCTGCGAAGATCTCTGCTGCAGAGCCACCAGATCAGCGCTCAACTGTGGGAGCGTCCGGAGCTGCGCGGAAACGGTGTCGAGGTTCTTTCTGATCTGTGCAATGTCTGCTTCCATGCGCTCCATGCGCTGCTTGTGCTCCTGCCGGTTCTCCCTGTGCTTGACGCGATCTGCCAGTCGCTTCTGGCTCATCTGAGCCTCTGTGCGCACCCGTCGCTTGGACGAGCCGCTGGGTGGAGACGCGGACATGAGAGGTGAGTCGAGGTGGCTGAAATAGGGAGGTGGTCAAAAGGTCATATAGTCTGGCTGTCAATATTCGAAAGGGGATATCCACTGTTTTGAGCGAGGGTTTCTGGCGATGCCTTGAGTGAGGAAAAGCTCAACGGTGAAGAAAGAAAAAAAAAAGGGGAGACGCGTCCGACGTCGACCAGTTAAATAGACTTGAAACGAGGTTACGATAACCCCGTGTCGTTTACTTGGCACTGAAGATGAGAGTGTCAGAATTGACACTAGGAGGTAAGGTAACTATGTCAGGTGTACATAAACACGTGTAGAGAGTAGAAAAGGGTAAACGGGTAGCAGAAAAGCGAGCGTTGAATTTCTTTGCTTTGGGTGTGCGAGTTTGGCTGCGACGGGAGGCGAAACGCGGGGTAAAGCGCCGAGATGAGCACCGGATTATTCCCTGTTGGGTCCTAGCGGCGCAGGGGTTTGCCAGGTCTGTTGGGGAGGAATTGTTGGCGTGATTGGCTGGAGCCTGTGTATGATTATCAGGAACTTGATCTTGACAGTTGCCGCGTGCTTTAAGCATAAGGTTAGGCAGATTGGGTTTATCGGGTACCTACCTGGGCTATGTATGTTTTGTCGCTTTAGGGAATTTAACCGGTTGAAAGGGAGTGGTTGTTTGATGGAGGAGGTGAGGGGCTAGCCCAACAAAGTAGAGATGATCTTGCATACCCTGGAGCTGCATGAGACTAGGAACTGTTGCTCTAGAAGGATGAGGCGTATGATGGAATCTACAGTGAGTATTTGTATTCATTCACTCGTGATAATAACAGTCTTTCAAATAAAGCCAGGCTGTAGTCTTCTGTCAAGTCTTGAGTATTGTAGACTCACACTGATACAGAAGTTGAAGAAAAGCCAAGCAATTCTGGCTTTTAAATTCAAAAGACTACATTCACTAAATCAAGTTTGTCACTAAGCACATAGCGTGAGACTATACCTAGTTGTAAACTCAATTCTCAGCCCTTATTCGTCAATGGGGGCTGATCTGCTTTCTGCCTATAAACAACAATACTACGCAACGATGAGTGAGATCTCATTCCATCTGCATTACAATCAGCTGAGCGAAAATTATGGCTGCATACTCTTACAATGAGAATAATAATATTCCAAGGCCGAGTAAATGTCATGGGATCGAGGTCTCCAGCTATGTTCACATGTATTCAATTCTGGTGTCCCGTCTGTATGACATCAAGTTCAGCTTGAACCAAGTTCTTTCTACTGGTTTAAGCTCTCTGCCACGAGTCACAACTGCAAATAACACATCTAGCCCTGTTTCCAGTGACCAAAAGTGTTTGGAGTTCCTCAGAGTCTCCAATTAGTCGAACCATCTGTTGGTCATTCCACATCTCGCACACATTATCTGACGTGAATGATAGAAGTTCCTGTCTGCAGCTGACTGGCATTCCCGTTCCGAGTCATACAAACTCTTACATCCAGATTCTGATTATGGTTGCATACCTCCCGATCAGCGATCTCAGCCTCTTATCTCCGCCAACTCGAATAGCACTAACAACAATCGTGATGACACCAAGGGGTTCCATGGCAAGCAGGATATCATCAGACCATCCCATACTCACATACTCATGCTCAGGAATTCTTTTGTAACCTGCTCACCAAGTAGAGTGAGCAGCGGCTTGAGGTCGCTGAATAGGTTGTTGGAAAAACCATCGCCTTCGAACATGGACATTTGGATATGATTAGTGCAGAAAGAAAATAAAGTCTACTCCATGTTCAGAATTAGATGGGTATTTAAGTTATTTCATCGAGATCAAGCTGTAGTATCTACAGGGTTTACGAGAGGAAACGGTACTGCATGCAGGAAGATGGATAATCTAGCCAATGCCGTGACGTAAACAAGTGAGGAGGATGCAGTATGCATTTGAAGCGCCTAAAATGATGGAACTTTTGCAGAAGCAATGCTACCCTCCTGGTACAGCGTTTGTTACCCACAAGCTTAAAAGGTTGGGACACAAGTTGCTAGGGTGATTTATAAGTCCTTCAAACTCAATTAACAGAAGAAACAGTAAGAATCTCGCAAGCTATCTACCACGAAAACTTCTGTCCAGTTGCCTCCTCAGAGAAAGCCCACAACTTCTTAGCCTCACTGCTCGAAACAGCCAACGGCGTCGCTCCAGTACTGATCTGACAATCAGCAAGATACGCTCCATAATTCTCACTTCCTTCATGAGTCTCCCCAATACCATTCGCAAGCTTGGGATCCAAAGCAGCAACAAGACTAGTCGAAGCCCCAGCTTCTACCGACTTGGGAGTATAGAACCCCACCGACCCCAGCTTCTCAACAGCCTCCAACGTCTCTTTCGGGAAGTTTCTTGCCAGTTCAGTCGTCATGATGACACCAGGGTGAGCAGAAAGAGTGAGAATGCCGTGCTTTTCAAAGAGACGCTTGTTAGCCTCGATGCCGAAAAGGACGTTGGCGACTTTGCTGCGGTTATACCCATCAAGGGGAACATAGGCAGTTTCTTCAGTATTTTCGTATCCCCAGAGTTTAAAGAACTCGTAATTTGGCTGCTCCTCTTGAGGAAGGTCTTTGTTCTTTTTATCAAAGTTCATATCGCTCCAGCGCATGTTTGACCCCATAGGCGAACCGGAGGTGACATTGACGATACGAACGGAACCCTTTGGTTTGTTTTCGGATGCTTTGATCAGCTTGGGCATTAACAGGCAGCTGAGAAGCCAGTGACCGATGTGGTTGGTTGCCAGATGCATCTCAATACCATCTTTGGATAGAGTGCGCTCTTGAATAGCCATGACGCCGGCGCTGTTGATGATAAAATCAATAGCAGGAATATCGGACCAAGAAAGGACTTCTTTGGCTGCGTTGCGGACGGCTTCTTGACTAGAGAGGTCGACCTCCAAGAATCGGTAGTCTACATCTGGGAACTCGGCTTTGAGTTCATTGATGCTCTCCGTTGCCTTGGAAGGACTGCGGCCGGCGAGGATGATATGGTCCGGATTTTGAGTGGACTTACGATGATAAGTATACGAGTCTAACCAAGAAGGGGGGAACTTACAAAAGCCTGCGCGGTGGCAAAGCCAATACCTCCACGGTTGACTCCGGTGATGAGGACAGTTCTACCATGGATACCGTTAGAAAAGGTTTTGGCAACTTCAGTAGCTTCGGTATTAGCTCCAAAGTCTGTGTGTGTGGTTGATGCCATGGCGATGGATGAGAACGGATCTTGAAGTAATAATCCGAGTATGCTGTGAATGTCTATAGAGGTGACTGATGTCTGCGTTGTCTGAGGGCGACCATCCTCTCTATATATACTCAAAGAACTCTTCTTTGGACGTCTGAGTATTAGCAAACATCGAAGCCTTGTTCTCAAATCATCCAATACAAGACTTGCTACCCGATTCGGAAGCCACCTCAACATGTCAAATGGAGATCATGGCGCCACTATAGTCTCACTTGAGCCAATGAGAGACTTGCTACCATATTCGGTTAGAAGTCTTCAGCATGTTTCAGAAACTTCATTGGCTGACTCTCTTCCCAGGAGTGAAACTTGAACGGAGTTAACGGATTTCTTTCATTTGGCCTTTAACTCCATGAAGTGATTACACGTCTATCAAGCGGACTTGATCCCATAACTTCCGACTTGGTTCATCATGGATAGCATTCATCCACGGAAACCGTGCTAAACAATCCTTGGCTTGTTCCCAAGTTATGATGCCGAGCAATGACGCTTGCTCTCGGAGTTTCTCAACAAACCACTCACGACCATCCAGAAGTGAAACTGAAATCCCCCCCAAGATGAGAAGCCAGAACTTGAAGTCATCTTCATGCTCACTGAACTTGGATACAATGGCTTCTTTAACAAGAGTTTTGATAAGTCCCCGTCGAGCAATGCGATCTTGCGTATTATTAAAGTAAACCGACATCATAAAGAGGCATAGCCCGATATGGTAAGTAGACTGAGTATCCTGCTTGAGCCTGGATTGACCAATTGTTCGAAATTGGAGCAACCGATAGCAGATTGATACCAAAACTTCTTGAAATTCAAGGAGGTCGAGAGGCTTCTCATCCTGATGTTCGTTGAGCAGTCTGCACAACCCTATGACGTCGCAGAATGCTTCTTGGAGGGTTGAGTCAAGTCGCCCGGAGTATGCAGCCGAGTCTTGCTGTAAATTGAATCCCTTGAATGCCAAACTGCGTTTTACGTGATGTATATGGTCTCGATGAAACAGCGGGTGTCCACCCTGTTGCATGGCAAAGAGAATATCAGTCCTTCAAACATCAGCACTCGCCACCAAAATCAAGCATTACGTACTCACCGACAAATTTTGACAGCAATAACATCATCTTCAAGGTTCTCCAGCCCACCACGAAGGTCAGCTATCTTCTTCAAACCCGCCATATGTGTCTCAGCAGCTTCGTAATGCTCTGCTGCCTGTTCTTGGTTGATCAGAGCCATGATTATCGATATTGTATGATCCGATAGCGCCTCTTTGCTATTCAATCTGACCTTGAGCTGATCTAGAGTCTGAGATATACAGCTTAGCGAATTGGTGCAGTTGTAGCCTATGCCTAGATATATCTCGTTTGACGCTTGGATGAGCGCCAGGGAGCAGTCGTAAGCTTCAAATCGTTAGCTAGTGTAGTATTTCTAGGGGCGTCTTACTTGCCTGCTTTATCGTGAAACATAATCTCAAGCCATTTGACCTTGTCCTTCTCGATAGAAAAGCCCAACTGAACTGGATAGACGTGTCCGACTGTCACGTTGAAGACTAGTTTATCAGCACAACTCGCCAATTTTGATGAGCATCAACTCACAGTCATCTATCGCTTTCCCAGCAACTTTCGTCACGGGAACTGGGAACGGGAAGCTGAAGAATTGGGTCGCAAGCGGCCTAGGAATTCTTTCCATTAGCCGATACTGAATAACTTGGTTCGTCCGCGATGGTCGATGAAATGTTTTGCCTGCATTTTTGCCCTTCATTACATGTCGTCGCATGAGCTTTTTCGAAGTTTTGTCGGCATTTAAGCCGTCCACGAAAAAGAAGTTTTGCTGCATCTGAGCGTTTGGTGGTTGCAGGAGTGAGATTTGATGATGTCAACGTAAGCAAACTCCATTTCGGTATAGGCGACCGCGTGAGGCGCCCGTTCAAAACAACCTTGAATTCCGGTATCATTAGTAATTATATAAAACAAATTAGCACCTCCAAGTTCAAGATGAAGAGTGTCACGATTAATCATAGACCAATTTCAGCTCATAATTCGTCTTCTCATTTTATCTACTCTACATAAACTCGCTCATCTCTCATAATACAGACTTTTACAGTTACATCCTAAACGGAAACAGATCCGCAAGGACCGCCAGCATGACTGTGTCCGCTGGATCGCTTCAGAACAGAAGCAACCTCAGCATCCCATCGTCGGGTGTTGTGGGTGACCTTGGGCAGGCTCTTCCAGGTCTTGGCGTAGCGAGCAACAGAGTTGGCAATGGCCTGGGTGTTGACGAGGAAAGCCTCCTTGTTAAGGTTGTTGATATCGTCGCCAATCTTGTGGTAGTTGATGTCGTACGCGACACCAGCCTCACCACCGAACTTCTTGGCCTCCTCCTCAGTCTTGAGCTGCTCGGCGCCGGTGAAGAGACCGCCAGAGGGAATACCGTTCTCGATGAAAGCGGCGTAGTCGGAGCGGCCGCTAAACTCAGAGGGGACGTAGCCGAGACGCTTGGTCTTGAAGAAGCGCTCGAAGTCCTTCTCGATGGCGTCGGATCCAGCAGGGCCAGTGAGGTTGAAGGCACTTCCATCACCATCGTAGATACCGTAGACATAGTTGGGGCTGGCAATCTGGTATATGTCAGTATTTGACTTTTTTCAAAGAATTTTTGGGTCTTACCATATCGAAGTTGAGGTAGGCTCGGATCTTGGCGACTTCAGCGTCAGAACCGTTGATGCTCTTCATGTAAGCATATGAGCCGAGAAGACCGAATTCCTCAGCACTCCAGAAACCGAAACGGACGGCATTCTTGACGCGGTACTTGGTGAGAGCCTGGGCAACCTTGAGGATACCAATGATACCGGAACCATCATCGCTGAAGTCTGTTAGCATTGAGGAATTTCAAAGATATGCTGGGGACTTACTTGATACCGGGTCCAGCAGCAACGGAGTCAGAGTGGCCTCCAACAACGAGAACGTTGTCGTGGTCACCCTCCTTGGTCTCAGCAATGACGTTGAAGGTAACACGGTTCTCAACGGTAGCATCAACCTTGAGGTCGACGGTGACCTCACCAGCCTTGGTCTTGGCAAGGATAGCCTGACCATCCTCCTGGCTGATACCAACAATGGGAGCGAACTCGCCAAAGGGCTCACCAAGAGTACCAGCCAACTCGCCAGGAACGTTGTTGTAAACAATGACAGCAGCAGCTCCGGCAGTCTTACCGTTGGCAGACTTCTGAGCGAAGGGGCACGTTCCTCGAAGAACGAGAACAACGTTGCCCTTAGACTCGGCGGGGAAATCGCTAGCCTCACAACCAAGGTTCTCAGCAACGACAAGAGGACCAGAAGCCTCACCAGCAGGGGTGTAAGTCATGATGGCAGCAGTGATATCATCGCCGTCAACCTTGAGGGAGGCAGTACCAGCAGAGTACAGCTCAGTGAAGGGCTGCTTCTTGACATTGTAGTAGCCAGTTGCCTTGAGGGTCTTGTAGAGCCAGTCGACAGTGGCGTTGTGACCAGCTCCACCAAAGACACGGGTGTTGCCGTTGGCCGTGGCGATGTCCTGGAGCTTCTGAGCACCGGATATGAGGTCCTTGATGTTGATGTCCTTCTGGAGCTTGAGCTCGTTGACGAGGGGCTTCTTGGTGGCGCTGGCCGCCAGGGCGAAGAAGGGGAGGGAGAGGGTTGTGAATCTCATCTTGACTTGGCTGGACTGGACTGAGCTGCAAGAAGAGGGATGAGGAGTGAGTAAGGGGATTTCTGAGGGTGGAAATAGTTGATATTTATATGTTGTCGATCGTACGGAATTAAATTACATTGTAGTCTACTCGTCACAAACCCATACCATTTCGTGATAGCACAACATGCTGCACGGCACTTCTGCATAGCCCAGAAAATGTCCCACGAACCAATGACCCTCTCACGGCCGCGGGATCCAAATCAGGCAGTTCCAGGGATGTCTCTGGCGATCGAATCTTGGCGTCGTGTTTGCTTCCCCGCAGGAACTGCCTCTTCCAGGAACTAGCGCCGACTCGGATCCCACGTCGCCTGGAACTTTTGGAGTATTCGCCAATCCGACCTATGTTGATAACGGCAGGTCGCAAGGATCATCGACGACTTGGCAAGATAGGCCAATGGTGGTCACGAGAGATAGAGTAAATGACTAGCGCAGTGATAGAGTTGGCGCTGGGCATTAAGCATCTTTCTACGCTTATTCGTCGTATCGACAGGGATCTGAGATAGAGAGATGGGTGTTTATCAGCCACCGCGAAATGACATGATGATCTTTTCTGGGCTCCATCCAAGCATTCCCCCTCTTTCTCGACCCTCGGCGGACTTTTGTAAACGCTTGCAAAAAAGCCTGTTTGGTCAAGCCTTGGGACTCACCGGTTCTTTTGCCATCAGCATGGGTCAGCGAGATAAGAAACCTTGTCGTCAATTGAGTTGTGCCACAGACTAGTTTATTTCCGAATTAGTAGTGTTTATCCGAGTGTGGCTGGTTACGATGACGATCTGCACTGTTGTGAGATGAGGATTCTTTCACGATGCAGTGTTGCAGTGCGTTGGAGGATGGATTAATGCGCTTTGAGGAATGATCTACCGGTTCGTTGAGGCAAGATGTAGTGTAACCCAGCCTTGTGAGGCGAATGCACTTTTTGGATGCAGACTTACGGGAATGTGTACTAGATGGGAGAAGATCTGGCTGTACCCTGTAGTTCAGCGCATATCAGAGCGTTCGAGGGTATTGACATTTACCGGCAAAGCGGATCAATACCCGTAGTATCGTTTCATTACATTGCTGGAGTGGAATGGTAGATCTACCTGTCAAAGACAAGATGAGCGGTTCTGCAGGTCAACCAATATGTAAAGCCTTGAGATTCAGTTTGAATTTGCTAAGCAAGCTTGGTCCGTTCTCTACTCAAGAACTATAGCTCATATTTGTTCTGTTCCTGCCCATTTCTGATGTCTTTCGCTCCCCATGAAACCAGCATATCTGCCACTTGCTCTGCCCTCTTCCCTCTCATCAATGCTGATGCTAGAGGGGACTCGCCTTTGTTGTTCAGAGCATTGACATCACCTCCATGACCTAGTAGCATTTTCAGTAAGCCCAGATTTCCATCACTCCCTTGGTGCAAAATCGTATCCCCTTTATTATTCGGAATGTTCACATCAGCCCCCCTTTCCAGCAAAAGTTTGGCTGGATCAAAATCATCACGGTTAGAAAAGGCCCGAAACACTGCAGTTTCGCCATTAATGTCCCGGGCGTTGATGTCAGCACCATGGTCTAGGATAAGCTCTGTAATCCATGCACATATATTAGATATATCTTGACGGAGATCAATGGTATGGTGGAGGGCCGTGCAGCCTTGGTTGTCTCGAGCGTTGACGCAAGCTCCACGGTCCAGCAGATATGAGACAAGGGCGAGAGATGTGACACTCATAAGTTCGAGTGCTCTATGAAGGGGTGTTCTTCCTTTGTTATCGCGTGCATGAATGCTCAATCCAGCTTTGATCAGCAGCCGCACGCTGGCAACATAGGAAGCTAGGCATGCTTTGTGCAGAAGTGTCGATCCCTCTTCATCAACATCCATGACATCGACCCCATTTTCAATCAGGCACCCGAAAGTCTCCCCAATCCCGATGGGGCTGCGGGCCACGTGTAAAGCATTTAAACTGTCAGCAGTCCGCGCAGAGAAATCAGCTCCGTGAGAGGCCAAGAATCTCAGCATGCTGACATCGCCGAGCTTAGAGGCATGATGCATTACCGTCCAGCCCCTGTTATCTTTTGCTTCGATGTCGGCGCCAGCATCCACCAACATCTGAGCAACATGAACGGATGCGACATGAAGAGGAGTCCTCCCAGCTTTGTTCACTGCATGAATGTCGGCTCCCTTTTTAAGGAGCGCTCTGACTGTTTGCTGAAAGCCCGCAAGAGAGGCTAGGTGTAAAGCAGTGTTGCATTTAAGATCGATACCGTGAAACTCTGCGCCATGATCTAGAAGCATTTGAACGATAACGTCTTTCTCTCCCAGAAGAGCCCACCACAATGCCATGTTAACACCGTCTTGGCCAGTATCCTGCGCTGGTTTAAATCGAGGTGGAAGGTCTGCAGCGATCCTCGAAAGCTCTGCGCGGTCTAAAATTCCTCTATTGCGCCTAGAAAAGCGTACGCGATTTTCAAGCCACGGGGAGTCAAACCTCGCATTGAGGTTAAAATCGTGGTCAAGAAGAACTTGCAACACTTGCTCGTGCCCCTCTGTAATTGCGCAGTATAACATGAGTTGCTCAGAAACCATGCCTATTCCACTTTCGATGAGTTCCTCAACTATGTCAGCATGACCGTTGAATGCAGCAATAATCAGAGGCGACAACGGCGCACCAAGAACTTTTACGAAGTCCTTGGTGCCTCTCTTTATGAGAAGCTGGAAAAAATGCCTATGCTCACCTAAAAGAACCTCAAAGAAAGTATCAATGCATTGTAGGTCAGAATACCTCGCCTGACAGATGACCAGCGGGTTCTGGTCACACAAATACTCAACAAATTCGTTATTTTTACTGTCGAGGGCAGCCTTGAGAACATCCTTTGCTCGCTCACTAACTTTGGGATTCGCTATAGCGGCGTTGCAGATGATTTCTCTTAGTCTTTGATTTTTAGGGTGCAACACAGTAGCCAAGGGACCCCCTAATTGCAGTTCCCTGCTAACGTCATACCCATGATCTAGTAGCGCTTGCATAATATTTTCCCTTCCAGGTGCCAAGTTGATGAAGTTGTTGTCGAAAACGGTCCCTTTTTGCAAAAGCAGCCGAACAAGGTCTTCGCGTTTGCGAAACGAGGCGGCTTCCAAAACTTTGTATGCTGAGCAACCATCTGGCATTTCGTCCAGTAGTGCCTCGACAGTTTCAGAGTCATCAAATTCGATAGAAATCCGCAGAAGACTTTCCCAGTATTCTGGATCGGATGCCCATTTCCTAAGAAACTTGGAAACTTCTAAATGGTGAAGTCCCCCGTGATTGACAAATCTGCACCCGAATCTTTTCACAAATGTCTCAATATCGGCACCAGCTTCTATCGACTGCTTTACCATATCCAGATGCCCATAATAAAATCCAATGCTGAGAAAGCTTTGCAGCATGCTTCTCCACAGCTGTGGATCTAAACTTTCGATCCCATCTGAGAACAGTAGATTGAAGAATCGATTTGGAGTTCTCTGTGGAATCCCCCAGTCCCGCCAATGGAGTTCCATATGTTCTACAGCAGCAACACGCAATGAAGTTTCAATCTCCCGTTTATCAACTCTTGTTTCCGAGATTTGTATCAGACGTCTGATAATTCCTAGGTGTCCAGTTTTGCACGCATGCTCTAAACCAGATGTTGTGGGTGATGGTGGCTCGAAATATTTAGTTACTGTTATTCCAAGGATGGTCCTAGGGACTTCCAACGGTAACTCAGGGTTCGGGATACAGATTCGGTACCACCGCGTGACCATCTTGTCATTCGATAAGAACTCAGCTGCCATTTCTACGGTGTCTTCTTCAAGTCCTGCAACAAGAGCAGAGACGGGCCAATTCCAGGCAGCTTCCATTGCGAGGGGAAAATCAAAGGGCATCCGATATAACGGTCCTTCGATACCGGCTAAATAGGCGAGAAAGGTTTGAGTGATGGCAACTGCAGACTTCTCTTTGCTGAACTCCTCGTACTCTAGAAGGAGTTCTTGAACTGAGAAGTGCGAGATGTGGATCTCTTTCTGTCCGCTGTCCTTGACTTCGATCACAGATATGAAGCCAGGGCAGTATCGCTCAATGCTCAATGAGTTAAAGGGTCTATTTCCGATGTCAAATCGGGGTCGTTTCTGAACATGGTCCATCCGTGTCGCAACAATCTCTACTCCTAGATCTATGGGCAAGGGTCCGCTATGATGAATAAGAAACTGCAACAAACGGATGGAGTCACTTCTATAACCAGGGTGTATTCTTTCTAGCATGCGGTTATAAGTCTCTTTAAGATCTCTAGGTAGCGTTTTTAGACATTTCTGGACGTCATTTGGACTCAGACATTCTGCTATATCATCCATTTGACAAGCGGCCCATCGAAACCTGAACAAAGCGTTAGCATTCCTGTCCCATAGTCATCGGTCACTTATCTTAGAGAACATACATCCCGTCTGCACCACAGCCGATCTTATTGCTTATTTCTGTGCGTAACTCTCTACTTAGCCCTTTCTCTGTGAAACGGGGGTCGGTTTCGAGTATTGCAAGAACATAAGACTTTATGTCACGATCAATGGAAGCCTTATCAAGATCTACACAGTTCTCAACACCAAAGAAGTGATAAAGGTGGGTCCTAATGTCATTTTCTGGCCGAGCAGTCAGAATAAATCTGATGCTCTCTGATCCAGTCCGGCCGATCCAAGGGAGAAGGAATTTTCTGCATGTACACTCGTCCAAAGCGTCGATCAAGATGAGCGCCTGTCCCACGGCCTTGAACATGGCTGAAACACAGGATTCCAGGTCCAGAATGTCTGGTTCCGTTGAGCCGCCTTCATATGAGGTAAATAGCTGATCCAGAGGCGAAGAAGTAGCGCTGCTGCCCTGTCGATAAAGTTGGAATGCCAAGGACCGGAGAAGGCCATCAAGAGACTGTTTCTTGACATCATTGAAGTCGAAGTAGTGTGCTAATGTAATAGTGTCGCTGGTATCCCTGAGGTCATCGAGGATTCGTGAGCTTAGCACTGTCTTCCCGCAACCAGCCAATCCATGGAGCCACAAATGCTGGCGCGAACCAGCCTTGAACTCCTGGAAGGCCGAGCTATCAATAAACCACTGACCAGAACCATCGTGGCGGCGCATCTTGGCCTTTTCTACATTTGTAGAGACTCTAGGTGGCTTGAGCCAGCGCTCGATCTCCGCGCGTCTATTATCTGCATGCAAGGTGTTCACAGTATCATTTATGTCTTCCACGTGCGTAGTAATATTTTCCAATTTAATTCCTACTACGAAAATAATTAGTAAATTCATATCCTCCAATCTCGAATGCTTACCCACGTTCACTGATGACTTTCGCAAGAGGCTTCTCCGTCTGTATCTTTGTCGGCGCAATCTTCTGAAGCAACTCCTTCGCGTATGCTGCAGCAGTCACCGCTGCAAAACCTTGCCATTCCTTGTTCTTGTGAGAGTCGGCATAGTCGCAGATCCCACAGATAATCAGACAGGGGAAGTGGTTCATCAAGCCGGCTGCTTCCATCTCAAAGCATAATACTCCCTCATCACTGGCTAACTTATCCCGGATAGTTGCGTCCTTCATGAGCATATCAGAGCTGGCAATGAGACCATAATGGATCATTGGGTCATCGTCATCATCGCCTCGAACCTCTCGGATAATGAGGTTCTCTTCGCCACAGTTGTCTTTACATGCTGTAGACTTTGGAGATTCGCTATGAATGTGGCTGGATTCATAGAGCCTGTCTGTCTCTGTTGTTGGACGAGCATACCGCTTTTTGAGGCGAGGTCGTTTACTGAGTGCTTCTTCGATTCTTTCGTTCAGTTCATGGCCTTGACCTTCATAATCCACTTCTAGTGCCCCCACAGCAGTCAACACAAATTGGGGTGGTTGATTCAATGACCCAGTCAACTGGAACTCTTGTTGCTGTATTGTCTTGCCCCGGTTATGATGAAGGACTCCCCCTTTCGCTCCCGAAGGGACGCTAACTACGACATCTCCAAGACGAATATCATGCTCAGGGCGCGGAGCACCACCACCAATACCGACCATAAGTCCAACACGAATATTGGGAAAGGTTCGTAACATGTCTCTGGCTACAGATGCAGCTGGGGCTATGCCGTATTCGGCTCTGGGTAAGGATGCCACGACAACGTCATGCTTCCCCATTCTCCCGAAGGAATAGCTGTTATTGTCTCCAGGAGCTTGCACGTCTAGATTTACTTCGTATTCTTCATCAAAAAAGCTTTTTGCCGCAACTAACTCTGTTGTCAAGGCGCAGATCCACCCAACAGTGTAGGTTGAAGGGTCCGCCATTTGGTTGTCTCTTCTCAGAGGGTTCACTCTGTTTAGTCTTGACTATGAGATTTAAGAAATGATTTGAGTTCTTCTAGATGATGACAGGGATGGGGCTTATATAGCCCATTTTGAGCTCTGGAAGGTTCTCTGCTTATTCAAACAGCGCCAGCATACAAGGCAGCATACAAACATGGGACAAGAGATGGCTGTGTTTGAAGTTTTTTGCAAGCGAAGCAATAAAGAAAGTTGGTTTTCCTACTAAGAAGATAACGGTCATCTCTACATGATGAAAAGGCAGGATACCCCGACAGTTTTTAAGCTATCTTATAATGTCAACGATATATCGTCAATTTAAACACTTGAAACGATAAGTGACGGTTACACCGTTCAACCTTCAGTCACTGGTCACATGAGAAGCAAATTTCTACTCAAATGAAGCAGGCTTATCGAGCTTATAAACCGACTATATGCTCTAATTCCAAAGTTTTATGATTGACACCAGCTACAATCGGTTTGTTGAAGCACATTTACGTATCGGGGTACTTTAAGCGAGCCGCTTGCCGGTTAGTAGAATAACATCAACGCGTAAGGCAACAGCAAACCGTAGCAACCGATAACAATCCAATTTTGTCACATTCACCAATATCCAACATGGAAGCCGAACATACAATTGCTGATGGTAGTACCAGACTCCCAATCGAGGTCATTTTGTTGATAGTTGAGAACCTGATCCCTCAGTATGATGGGTCGCGACCAATCCTCCCCGCATCACATCCTATCACGAAAACACTCGTGGCTTTGACAAGAGTGTGCAAAGCAATACATCCCACTGCTAGCAAACTCATTTGGCAAAACTGTCTCTACATCGATAGAAAATCAAAACTTCGCAGGTTCAGACGATACATCTCGCAAAAGAGCCCAATCACCGGGCGCTCACCATGTGAAGCTTATGGCTCAGCCAAACTATATCTCAGCCCCTTACATTACAAGTTTGACACCGCCTCTACTTATGAGGCCATCGCTCCGTCTGTTCGTCGTGGTAAGGAGAAGCCTGGTCGTATGAGCGACGGCTCGGACAGTGACATGGAAACTGATGAGAGCGATGAATGGGCTGATGGGTCACAAACTGGGAGTCATCGCGCACCTCGCTCAAGATCCCCCGTGGATGATGGATATTCGGAATACTCAACTCACAATTGGAGAGACGCGCCAATGCAGGACCTTCGAACGATCCACATTCTCAAAGACGTTCTCATCACTCTTGCACCAGTCCTCAAGACCATCATCGTGGATATGCCCTTGAGAGATTTAAGTCCTACACAAAATGGAGACATCTTGGAGCCACTCAGACAGGGATTCGAGGCTCTGGTCAATATCGAAGAACTTATCAGCGTTAAGGACGAATTATACGTGGATACGGATACTGAAGTTATACAGCCTCATATCTTTATCAAATGGCCGAAACTGCGACGTTTATGTCTGTACAACGTCATGGCTGCGGATACATTCTTCGAGGATATGGCGTCGTGTCCACAATTAGATACGGCTGTTTTCGTACGGCCTGACCTCGCGGATGATGTCAAAGGAGAATGGGCGGCGGCATGGGCCAAAATCAACCGCCCGAACACGAGGGATGACGGTCCGGTGTATCAAGGGCCGAAAATCTCAATGGCTTTCTGCGACTGGCCACCCTACCTTTACGACTTCAGTAGCAAGATACCTCACTGGCAAGAAGTAGACCCCGACAACAAAATCACTGTTTCGACTCTGGCTACGCATCAAAGATATGATAGAAGATCAAGGAGAAGGGGTCCGATTGCCTCATGCCAGGATTGGATCAGGGATCACGCTTTACGTGGTACGATTTGGAGTGAAGTTGAGACCAAGTGCCAGCCTGTAACTCCGCCAATAATGTTTGAGGGTCAGGTTGAGGACGACGACGATGAATGGGTTGATGACGACGATGGCGAGGACTGGAGTGACGATAATTCCGATTTATGGTGATAAATCCACGACTGACTTGAAGAAATTCGGCAGACTTTAACTGCTTCAAGCTCATTCTGCTTGTCAAAGTGACAAGCAAAAACCTGTCAATTTCTCGGTATCTCTCAATGCTACGTGCTCACTGGGGCTTGTCCTTGGCCTCATCAACCTGCAACTCAAAGAAACTCTCAATCAAACTCAACGTGATCATAGCACTCGAGAAAAGAAGTGAAACCTCATCACCAAACTTGACATCCTCCAACGGATCCCTCACCAACTTCGCATCCCGATCAGCATCCAGCTGTCTCTTAGGCATCTCCTCCGGCAACGGGTGGAACGGAAGGCCAGATGGTAGCTTCTGCGGCTCTTGGGGCTTATCGCCTGGGAATCCTCCAAAGACATCGCCGCCTTCTTTGGGAGTGTCTGGTTCCTTACTCAAGAGCTCAATGGCTTTCTTGTAAGCTGCGTTGTCAGGTTCTTGCTTTTGAAGGCCTTCGAACATGAGATATACTGCGCGAATGACACTCTCGAGGGCGCCGACGATCCACGCGTGGTGGGAAGAGGATGCTTCGCCGATGAGATACAATTGACCGTAGGCGTTGGGCTTGATGATCTCTGACCACATGTTGGAGAATTGACTTGGCCCAAAGTATGCGAATGCACCAGACATGTTCTCGTCTCTGTACCAGTCGTACGCATGATGGTCCTGGTACTGATCCTTGAGAAGAGCGAGAAGCTGATCGTACGTGTAGTCGCTCTGCTTTGAGTGCAACAGCGCAAGATCATGAAGAAGCACAGAGAGGAGTTGCTCTTCATTCTTGGGCGTCTGGGGTGAGATCAGAGATCCAATGCGCTGCGCATCCTGGCCCCAGGTGTACGAGCACAGAAGCACAGCAGGCTTGTTGGGATCCCAATCCTGGCCTTCGTTGGACTCAATGTTGTAAGACGGATACACGCAAACCCGAAGAGGAAGATCAGTATGCGCAATGCCACCTTTCTTGATGTTGAATGGAGGCTTCTGCCACCACGCAGTCTCAAACTTGATACCAACCTTGCACGAAGCACCATATCCCAAAGCCCGAATGGCCTGCTTGGTGCCCCAGAGAAGACCCGCGTCCTTGAGATCCATTCTCTGAAGAGCACCGAGCGTCGTACTATTGAACACAGCAAAGTACTCCTTTTCCTTGACAAACTGGTTCTTGTTGATGCGGAGTTTCATCGACGTGAAGTCCTTGGGCTTGCGTTTCTTGCGCTCTTCGACTTGCGCATCTATGGCGACAACTTGGCTGTTGTATTGGACGGGCTGCTTGATCATTTTCGCCATACGATGCGCGATGGTCTGGGCGCCTCCATCGATACACCACCAGTAGTTGGTAGGCTGGCCGTCGATTGATTTGGGGGTTGCGAAGTCGAGTTCTTCGAGGACGCATTCTGTGAGAGATTGGTCGTACCAGCCAGTACCACTGGGAAGTGTCAGTACAGTTGCCAGGGAACCTAGCGGGCTACTCACTACGTGGCAGACTCAAGCCACTCAATGGTGTTGTAGTTGTATCCCGGCCCCTCGGGAATGGGGCCAGAATTGTCTTTGGGTTTGCCCTCCCTCTTCTTTCTATCGCCATCTCCCCTACCACGACGTCAATCTACTACAAATGTCCACTGGTGCACTGGGTACTCACGAAGAAAGGAACTGGCGAGTGCTGAGCTTATCAGCCTCCATCAGAAGTGCCCAAAGCTTGGTTGTCTCCGGTCCCTTTTCATCATTCTCTTCAACGGCTTTCTTGAACTTCTCTGCGGCCACCTTGATGAAGTCTTCCAAAGCCTCACTGACTAGGTCTGAAGGGTTCACTTGGAGTAGGCTATGTTATTGTTAGTGATCTGCCAGGAATGGAGGAAGTACACGCACTGAACGGGAATCTTGGCTTTATCAGGAAGACCCTCGTTGATCTTGAATGGGTCATTCGCTTCAGCCGTCCAGACGTTTCCGACGCCGGAAACGTCATTGAAGTATGTTGGGCAGACATTGTCCTCATCTCCGATGTAGTATGGGATCAAACCACCTTTTCCGGGCTTGAGGCCGATGTAATTGAACAGCTGGAAGGTTCTGCAGCATGTGAGCGATCGCAACGACAACGATCCTTGGGAGACGTACCTCTTCATGATGGTGTTGTTCGGGAATCGCATAGCTCCAACATCATAGTAATCATGCTCACCATGCGAAAATCGATGCGTATACAACCTTCCTCCCAGCCTGTTCATCTTCGCAGCCTCTATAATGTCGTACTCAATCTTCAATCCCTCCTTTTCGCACTGGTCATTCAGCCAGTCAAATACCATGGCAGTGAAAAGTCCAGCGACACCAGCGCCGATGATACCAATCTCAAGATGGTTGGACTTTCTGGGGACGAAGCCAACACCAGTGAGCTTTTGGGTCTTGTCAAGAATCTTACTGACACCTTCGTCTTCATGAACTTTCTTTGGGAAAAGCTCGGGATGCTCTTGTTGAGCTTGGATCACACGCTTGGCGGCGGCTTGGACATCGTCTTCGAAGCCTTTCTGGGCGACGTGTCGTGCCCACATGTGCTTAAAGGCACGGGTATGGAGGTGGTGTTCTTCAGCTGGGAGAGACATGATGAAGACAAACTAGCAGTCATAGATAATGGGCTGTTTCCTTTGACAAAGACAGACCTGTTTGCCGGGGACTTGCGTTCTATTTATGCGCAACCTATTGCTAGCTAGTCTGGCCATGGAGGTTCCCATCCGGAAAGCTCCATCACAACACCAACACAGTGGCTAGCTGAGACAAGCAATGTGATAACAAACGATAAACCGACTCTTGTAGTGAACCCCGCTTCATCTAAGACTTTCATCACATACCGGTGAACTTCCCCGCAGATGACTGCGTTTTCTTACCGACGAAACTATCGATGCGTTCGATTCAAGCCTAGAACACCAGATCTCACGGGCCGTAGCCGTTCCTAGCGGCATCAATACGAACCAAAGGCCCTCCAGCTCCCGGAATAACTGGATGCTGTCCAAATGTGGCTGGCTGGATTGAGACTATTGGCGACTAACGACTAATACGGTTATTGTGTCTTATGCTGGGGTTAGTGATGACGATGCTTCGTCTGAGGTGCATTAGACTGCTGAGGCTGAGAATTGAGGGGAATGCCTATCCTGTTAACATGCAGATACTGTAGGTCTGGGGCTTTTATGAGATTCTGTGATTGTTGCGAATTTGGAGTATGGTCAGCAATAACACACCTGCATGTTGGAATGGTGTTCAGTTCACCGTATTTTCAGCTCAGCAGATCGATGATGATAGAGGCGTTTATATTCGTTGCGGCTGAAGCTTCGTGGAAGATGGCACACAGCACCACGACCTTTTTACTCTACCATGCGCCAACTGTCTCAATCACATTCCGAAATATACATATGAATTAGTTCAACTATTCAGCTATATACCCTACAACCTCTAGTCGCCAAGTGGGTAAGCATGAAGGACCTGCCCGTGGAACAAGGTCGCATCCTTCGAAGCCAAGAATACATAACTCGGCGCAATCTCACTCGGCTGTCCAACTCTTCCCAGCTGAGAATTCTTGCCAAACCCTTCCATCTGCTCTGCCGGTCGAGACGCAGGCTGGAGAGGAGTATGCACAGGTCCTGGGGCCACAGCATTCACTCTGATGCCCTTTTTGACGAGTTGCTTGGACAGCGATTGAGTGAAAGACGTGATGGCGCCTTTTGTAGATGCGTAGTCTACCATGTGCGCTGTTCCTCTGAAGGCAACGGTGGAAGTCGAGTTGATGATGCTACTCTGTTAGCCAGGTTCGCACAATGAAGTGTAGACTTACGAGCCACCCTTTTCCATGTGATGAAGCGCATACTTCGTCATAGCAAAGATCTGAAGGATATTGCTTCGGAAAGTACTCTCTACATCATCCAGATCAATATCCTTAAAGTCCTCACACATGAACTGCTTCCCAGCATTGTTCACCAGGACATCGATCTTGCCATATTCATCAACATGTTTCTGGACTGCTTTCTTGCAGGTATCATTTTCCATGAGGTTTCCGGGGAATAGAAGACACTTGTGGCCTTCTTTCTCGACCATGCGCTTGGTCTCCTCGGCGTCTTCTTGTTCTTCTGGGAGGTAGACGATTGTTACGTCTGCGCCTTCGCGGGCGAAGAGGACTGCTACTGAGCGGCCAATGCCGGAGCTATAGGGATCAGTGATAGGACTTCATGTAAGGGGCGGCATGTCTGCTTACTCTCCGCCGGTAATGAGAGCTTTGGCACCCTCGAGCTTGTTGGCAGCTCTATACTCGTGGAACTCATTCTTGCCTTCGAGTTTGGTGGACTCGCTTGTAGGGTTCATGGCCTTTTCAGTTCTGTGACCGATGTTAGGGTTGTATCCGAGACAAGTCAATTGATCGCGTGCGTACCCTGGGAGCTTCTGTGCCTGAGCCTCAGGAACAGGGTCGAACGAACCATCTTTTCCAGCTTGAGACATTGTGTAAGAGTATTCAGTCAATTGAAGCAACTATTCTGTATGGAATTCTGAGATTATGGATGAATGAAGAAATTGGAACGATCATGGCCTGTTATTTATGTCCCTGAGCAATGATGTCAGTATGCAGTGCATCCATCGAGATTGTCCAGCCCCATCGCGGGGTCACTCAGTGCATCATGATGGCATCACGATTTAGACGGGCCAATTGCTTGTCCAACCTCAACAAATCCTCAAGCCAAATAATCTTACGGCCTGTAATTAACCACTGATCCAAACGTATCGGATTGTCCCCAAATTCCCTCCCTCAAACACGACAGCTGCACAATCTGCGAATGGTCCACAAACAAATTAACATCAGTCCCAAACTCTCTGACATACCAATTGAACACCTTTGGATCCGCCGCCTCAAACATGACTTTCTCCTGCGGCAGCTCCCTCAAAATCTGCTGAATAACATCCGTCCTCCAACTCTTGACATTCTCTGTGATGCCCTCGCTCTCAATCATGATACGCTCTACACCAGCGTCGATGAATCGCTTCCCCATGTGGATTAGCTTGGAGGGATCAGATGTTCCGAGTGATGAGAGCTCAGAAGCTTCTGTGTCGCCGCCAGCGCCGAATTGAATGCCGCATTCGGGTTTGGCGATCAGACCGGCGGAGTGGACTTTGTCGACGATGCGGAGCCAGTCGTCTTGGGGGATGGAGAGGAAGCCTGATGAGATTTCGATCACGTCGAAGCCGAGTTGTTTGCACTTTTTGAGATATTGGTCTACGGCCCAGACAGTGTCAGATTGGAGAAGGACGTGTTCCATCCATCCGCCCTGATTTTATGGTCAGTAAGGCCTGAGACCTGAGGATTGCAATGAGACGTACAGTAGAGACGTAGACATTGTACTCATGGGCAAGATTGATGAGCTCTTTAAGCTTGTCCTCTGGGAACAGGGAGAACGAACCACCCGCAAACTTGAGACCATCGACATGATGACCCATCCTAAGTCTGTCAGTACATAAGCATTGTGGCCATGGTCTGGGCGAACTCACGTCTCAAGGACATCCTGCAGATACCGCTTCCCCATCACCGAATAATATGGTCCCCGAATCTCAGTAACTCCAACAGACCTCGGCTTTGGTGGACGGCTGTTGTGACGAATAAATCCAAAGCCTTTGTCTTTATCTTCCAATAGAATCGGAGGAGTCTCAAGTCGAGGAGACACTGAGAAGGGCCTGATAGCGGCCTTGGGGATTGCAGTTGAAGCTCGCCATACTGGGCGGGCGGCTTTGAACAGGTTGGCATGCGACATTATAGTAGCTGTGGAGACGATTCTTCTATCCAAATCTCTGACAAGATTGTTTTTCTGATATCTCAAGCTTGCGCAGCATGGCTTCCGTGGTCTCTTAAACCATCACGTCGTAACATGATATCATCATGATGCATCCATGAGTTGCTGGGACTGTAACATAAACACCAGTTTTTGCGTCATATCAGCTATTTACCGAAGTATTATCATGCAACATCTCACTGATAACATCGGCAGTGCAGTTGGTTGCCGTCCAGAAATGACACCCCGTCCTAGACGGAGCCCGGTCGCCGGATTTGTGGAGACACTTCGGCCGTGACCGCCGGAATGCAATACGGAACCCGTACATGCTATGCTACGAATGTGTAAGTGCCTGGTAGACGCTCCCTGGCAGTTCTCTAATCTCTTTGTTACGCTGCGCCATCACCGACAGATGGCTTGAAACTCTGACGCGACGAGTCGAGACCGAGACTCGAAGACCGCCCCGAAGCTCTACCCACAGTGCCATAAGAACAATCATCTCAGCATCCGAAACCGACTTCTTACAACTAATCATCAGTGAAGTTTCGATAGCAAGCGACGAGGATGGTTTACGGCACCTGAGTCAATCACGGCAGTCGAGGCAGTTATCCCAGTAGGGAAACATAACGCCAGGAAATACTCTAGCGTTTAATAACTGAGTTAGCCCTCTTGGCCAAGTGGTAAGGCGTCGCACTCGTAATGCGAAGATCACTGGTTCGATTCCAGTACGGGGCAACACGACTTATTACTTTTGCGTATCACCATAACTCATTATGAGCTTTTTGCAACGAGTTCTCGTCGTTGGGATAAAAACTTGCCTATTTAGGAGAATTTCCTTTTTTGGACGCGCAAACCGGGACGGGACGAGCAGGCCTTTTGTAATTCGGGTGATTACAGAAGAGTGATTCTCTTTGTTTATGATCGGTTGCGCCAATTGACTTGATAAGAGAGATTTCCATTGTCTTATCAGTCGAGACATCACATTGAAGCATGCAAGTAATTGAACAAAGAAACAAATGCGTATTGGTATCCATCGTTATGCTATAACCCATCATCCATCCATAGCCCTATAATGCCCCGTGTATCAACGCCCAAATCATCATTACAAAGGAAATCCATCGTATCGTAGTTATCCCTATCCAAACTCCATGCTTCATATCTTCATTAATCTTCCACATCCGCCGCACACCCCTCATCATCAACCCTCTGCTGCTGCTGCTGCTGCTTCTTCCTCATCTCCATCGCCTTGCGCAGTTTAATAGCAGTCTGTATATCGACCTTTGCATCATCCGCTTCCGTAAGACCGTACTGATCCCACCCTATCTCATGAAGATCAATGCCCAAATCTGCGAGGGACACAAAACCCGGTGCAACGGGGGCGTCGCTCTCCCAGAATGAATCGGAGTCTGGGTCTTCAGAGGTAGAGACTTGGCGTGTTCGACGAGGTGTTGTTGTGCGACTGCGGGATTGGCGGGTGCGGCGTGGTGTGGATCTGTTGCTTCGTGTGCGCGGTCGTTGGGGACTCTTTGGGCTTTTTGGTGTTTTGGGACGTTTGGAGACTGGTGCAGAGGGGATTATGGGGATTGGGGGTGGTGAGGCGGGAGCTTTGAGGATGGGGAGGGGTTCGTATATGCCTGGGAGACCGTCGCCTGACATGCCGTAGTTGTCCTTCATAAGGAGTCCTTCGCCGTCGCGACGCTTCTCTTTCCATGCGACGAAGGAGTCTATGGAGTCCTCGCTTGCATCGGAGAGGTACAGATCCATGTCGTGATCGGTTGTAATGGGATGGCCGAGATGTTGCTCGATGTCCATCCTTGATGGAACAAGTGTCTCGGCGGAATAGTCATCCCCAGGTGAGTTATGCTGAGTGTGCTCGTGCTCAGGGCGTATCTTGATCGATGGTGGTAGAGATGCATCGACAGATGTGCTTGGCGTATGATGACCAGCGGGGTATTGGATGCTCGAGAAACCAGATGACTGCGTTGTAGGAGTGATGTTTGCCTGTGAACTGACATTGAGAGAAGATGTCCGCACAGGAATGTGTTCGTTTATATCGTCTAGACGTTGGTTTCGTAGAGCAACGCTGGCCATTGTGCGAGATCGAGGAAATGGTTTGTCGATTGATGAAGAGCTCGATGGGCGTGAAGGCTGTGACAGTTCGCTTCGGGGATAAGATGAGAGCGTCGAGCCTCCGTGATATGACTCTGGACGAGGATGATGGACATCGTTCCGGTCATACCGGTAATTCGGTTCAAGGTATACACTTGCTCGCTTGTCTGGTCTGAATTGCGCTGGGATGATTGGGCACGGCGCAGCTTCATCAAACGCCTCGTCAACCGTATCAATCTCGACACGACTGAAACTCCTTCCTCGGCTTCGGCCTTCACTCGTCTTTGGTCGAGATCTTTGAACTGGCGGTGGTGAAGATGAAGTCTCGTATGTTAAGCCACTGGATAGCGAAGGATGGAGACTCATGGGCCTTGGTTTGCGCGGTTGAGGTTCGGTTTCTGATGGAGAAGCAAATGCATTGAAGGACCTTCTCCGATCCCGCATCGATAATGTTCCTGGGTTGAGGTTCGATTGTGACTCTCGTCGATTCGACTTTCCGGATCTTAGCAGATCATTACCAATTGATCCCGAAAATGACCTCCAAGCTGATGAACTCGACGGTCTTGACCAAGCCTCCCGTATCGTCCCTAGATCGCCATGCGGAACACCCGGCGCAGGCGCAGAATCATCCTCTTCTTCTTCATACTCAAACGACTGCAGCTCCCTCCCTCCAGAAAGTCGATAAAAGGCTTGAGCAGCAGCACTGTTAAGGTTCACACAATTCTCACCAATATTCCTCTCCGCAACGTCCTCCCCATACTCCCTCGCCCCCGAAGCAGCCACCCGCGATCTAAAGTTGGAAGGCCTGAATTCTCCCTGCGCATCGAGAATGTCTATAAACGAATTCCGCTTATCATGTGCTGAATCTGTTGAGCTCTCGCGACGATGGTGTGTTGGAATTGAAGGTACGGGCGGTGGTCGTTCGCGGCCTCGTGTTGGTCGCTCTGGAACACTCCATGCTGAATTGGAGCTTCGTATGCTTCGCGAGAGGGAGAGCGGACGGGACGAGAGACTGTTGGCTTGGTTTGGAGCTGTTGTTGGGCGGGAGGGAGATGGGCCTCTGAATCGGGGGACCATGGGAGGTGGCGCTGCAGGATCTTGTGATATCGTTGATAATTGGGCTTGGCTGCGTTTTCTGGCTGCTCGTTGCAGCTGATCCAATACATTTGGTCCATTTCCAGCGACTGGGTATGTCCCTGGTGCTGTTAGAGGGGCTCATATGACATGTGTGCGACGGAGGTTACCTTGAATTGGTGGGATTGAAGCCACAGTCGAATTGTACGCTTGACCCTTGAGCGAAGGCCTGTTGCTATTCTTTCGCGCAAAGATATTGCTAAAGAAGCCCATGATGGTCGCCTTACCCTGCCATCTGGCAGATCGGCATCAAAAAGATAATCGCAATGATTTGAGAAACCCTGAGTGAAAGGGACACCTCAGCGCTTTTAAAGATGAGATGTTCGCATTCCGATCAGAAATGAAAAAGGGTACGCGCAATCGGGGGCGCCAAATGAAAAGGAAAATCAGGCGCTTATAAGTACAGTAGGCACCGTATCAATCAAAACGGCCCAAGTGAGAACGTGAGACTAATGCAAGCCCCGTGAATTGGAACCTGTTTTTGTTCTTGTGTGCTGTGGCTTTAGAGTTTGGGAGGATGTGGTGGGAAGGTCTGGTCTATTTGTTTTATTCCTCGCTGTTTGGTTTGGTTTGAGAAGCTTCTTTGGAAGGAAAAGGTACATACATATCATCCTTGGTCTGGTCTGGTCTAGTCTAGTCTAGTCTAAAACAGACAAGACGCGGGACAGGGGGTGATGACGCCAGCGAACGAGAGGAAGGGATCCATGCAACCATGTTTGGAGGTGGAGGGTGCTAGCGGAGAGTGACAGGCCACGATGGATCTGAGAGAGTTGGAGCGTCAAAGAGTGAGGGGCAGGGGGATGAGGGATGTTGTGTCTTGGTCATGAATGAAGAGAATGCCTTGACGTGGTAATGTCTGTCCACCAACTCAGACATTCCACTCACAAACCTAAGACATCTTCACTTCTCTGCAGAACAGATCGTCAGCGGGAGAGTGGCCGATTATCCCCCAGGATCAACCACACTCAGGTCAATTCAGGTCAGGTCAGGGGGCGTCTGACTTGCATCACCCCTGAACCTGAGCCGAACTCTGCATCCCTGGACCAGCCTGGACCGATATGGACGGATGCAGGGACCACTATTCTTCCCACTCAGGGGCTTCAGAAGTGTCACGGAAAATATCACCAACAAATGAGATGCAAACATGATGAACGCTTTAGAAAACGGGCTTGGGCAACTGCCACCTGGGGCTTAACCGACTGACGCCATCAAAACGGCCTCCGAATCAAGAAGTGATAGACCCAAGAGAACGATGCTCAAACGAGAAGCTGTGTGCTTACCTGATACACAGCCTGGAGTAAACGCGAGCACCAATCGAGTCATGGCCGTAAGCGACCAAAAGGAGATGGGAGGATAGGCGAACTCACAGATCCCAACGCGAATAATTACGCTGTGGTGTCGCATTGTCCGAGACAGAATGTCGGCATCCGAGTCATTGGGTCGATTATCACAATAGCCTTGTCCACGTTGCAGCGAGAGTCCCGCGGTTACATTCTACGGACACGGGGGACGGGCCGCTGCTGATTTTTGAGTTTGATGATGCTCGCCTGTGAAATTGCCGTGTTCCCTGTGTATACGCGTTGTGTTTTTTTGTTTATGGCAGATACTACCTATTCGTATTAAATGTCCACCTTTGTGTTCTCGTCACTGTAGCTCTGTGTTATGTCCTCGTTGCACGGATACGGACGGAGAAATTGACGGATTATTCGTGGTGACGGTCGCATTGTACAAGAAGATCTCAATCATGGACTTGTTAGTAACTTTAGTGCGAGCCCGGTTCCGCGCGTTGGGGCCTATTTGTGATCTTTTATCTGTGCACACGGGACAAACGCTTTGCCAACGAACTCAAAAGATGTGATATAAGTCACTAGTTAATGTGATGGCTTCAGTGATATTGACATCGTATAATCATGTTTCTATTAGCCTGGATTGCTATAACAGGAGGGTTACATATCACTTTGCTTTTTCGTGCAGCGACCCATGTAACTACAGATCGTTTCGGATCTGTTTCTCGCGTTGAGGTGACACAATCAAACTAGCAGAGACTAAATATGGCAGCGCTGATCAAGAGACTAGGAAAATATTAGGAGAATGAGATCTGCACTCAAAACTGATAATTGTCTCTGTCTTTGATGGGATTGGACGGACTAAAATGTCATTAAATGATTGCGAGATAAACTCGTTATTTTGGTGACGGTTACCCTAGATCTTGGCAACAAACGGAGCGTGCTCATCGATGACGTTCTATAATGCTTGATTTATAGTTGAAAGTGTTCTATAGGAATTGCTTCTTTTGGTAATTCTGAAACTGTTTGTATGGGTGGTTTATGCATAACTCAAACGATATCGCAATGTTGCAGCTGTAGCCAGAAATGTTTGTATGCCGAGGGTACAGGCTGTAAGGCTAGAAGGTGTTTAGGCGACGTCATCAGTAAACCACCCCGCCAACTCAACGTGGGGCATTTCTTCCTCCATCATCAGCAGCTTAACAATCACCAACACATCTCAACACCATCACAACCTCACATCCCACGCACGCAAGCGCCAAAATGTCTTCAACAACAGACCCCAACCCCTCCGACTCCCGCCCGGCCTTCATCCCCCTCGAAGCCAACCCCGAGCTCATGACAACCCTCATCCACAAACTCGGCGTCTCAAACGCCCTCGCAATGCACGACGTCTACTCCCTCACCGACCCAGACCTGCTCGCCTTCATACCCCGCCCCGCGCTCGCCCTGCTGCTCGTGTTCCCCGTTAGCGCCGTCTACGAGAGTCACCGCATGGCTGAGGATAGTCTGGCCGATGAGTACAAGGGCAAGGGGGATACCGAGCCGGTGCTCTGGTGGCCGCAGACAATTAGGAATGCCTGTGGACTGATGGGGTTGCTGCATGCTGTCTGCAATGGAAATGCTAGAAGTTTCATCGGTACGTTTTTCATTTGGGGGCGTGGATGAGGCTAATTCTTAGTAGAGGAGGATTCTACGCTTGATGTGTTGATCAAAAAGAGTATCCCTCTTGATCCCCACGGCCGCGCAAAAGTCCTCGAAACAACACCCGATCTCGCGACAGCGCATAAAGAAGCCGCTACACAAGGCGACACGCCCGCGCCCGCTGCAGAAGACGACGTGGAGCTACACTACGTATGCTTCGCCAAGGGCACAGACGGTGGACTATGGGAACTCGACGGACGAAGAAAAGGACCTATTCGACGCGGCGACCTAGAAGACAACGAGGATGTGTTGAGTCCAAAGGGCTTGGCGCTGGGTGCGCTGAAGTTTTTGGAGAGGGAGGGTGGTGATTTGAGGTTTAGTGCTGTTGCGCTTGCTGGGTCTATGGACTAGGATTGATACCCAAGAGGCTGGATTAGATTTGGGTGAGATTGAATAGTATAGTTCAATCTTCTCACCTGTAAAGCAATACATTGTTGTTAAGCTAGGAGCTGAGGGGCTGGAGTAATTTAGCGTAGTTATTTTGAGAAGCTGAAGAACAAGGCAGATTCTTGAAGCCACGTCTAATCTCAGCTCCCCACTCCAAGGCAGCGACTTTAACAAGATATAAAACAGCAAATTCGTTCATGTTCTGGTCAATCTTCAATTTAATTCAATCATAAACATCATGCGTGAGTCTCGGCAAGGCACATATTTACTGAATACCTTACTTACAAGTACAGGTATCGCACGTTGGCTCTTGGGCGGAGGCCGCGAACATGTCGGCCTCATTCTAGGCAATGACGCATCCGGCAAAACAACATTTCTATACAGACTCAAGCTTAAAGAAGCTGTACAGGCCCTTCCAACAATTGGCTTCAACGTCGAGACCATCGACTATCCTGATGGAGAGAAAGTCACCCTCTGGGATGTTGGAGGTAAAACACCCTCTCTGACCTCCATCCTTTACTAACAGTCTAGGTTGCGATGCCATCCGCCCTCTTATACGACACTACATGACCCAAGATCGCTTCCTAATCTTCATACAAAGCTGCACAGACACAGACCCCGATCGCGTTGAGTTCTCACTCGAGTATCTCCGCATGGGAATGAACATGATGCTTGAACACGGAGCAAAGCACATGTTTATCATCTTCAACAAACAAGATCTCCTCCCAGAAGAAGAACGGCCAAAAATCGTAAAAGATTTAAAAGCAAATTTGGAAGCTGAGATTAGACCATACGCTGATAAGCTCGATATCAAGATCTTGGATACTCCTGGTCTAAGCGCCCTTTGGGGCTGTCAGGTGCACAATGTCATGGATGAGATACGAAAGACTCTAAAACCGAAGAATGCAGCCAAGGATACGAAGGCTGAAATTGAGCTGAGAGAGAAGGGGCCGAGTGACGAGGAGCTTCGCAATAAGATCAGAACGGCTAATGCTGAGGGTGCTGATGCAAACACCTTCTGGGACTCGTTTCTAGATGGGAGTTTGGAGGCGTGGGATCATTACACTCATCTCAGAGCCGGCTTTTTCGTCATGCATGATTGTTTTGGAAGAGGCTTGGGACTCTTGGAGTGTGCTGATGAATTCATGGAGCATTTGAATCGCCTGCGGGAGGGAAACCCTGAGAGGTTCCGCAACACAGCGCACAAGTAAGTCGCCCATCCACTCTCTATCTCTTGTTACTAACTCTTTAGAACAATGACCATATTCTGGCTTCACCAAATCCAAGTCGCTGCAATAGAATACCAAACACACTCACTCGAAAAGTTCCCCTCGCGAGAGGACTACGCCGACATCGTCTTCTCAGCGCCTCAACTCATGAACTCAGGCCTCTGGAGACAATACTACTCTAAGGACCTATTATTCTCGCAACTAGCTAGGAATAACTATAGTCTGCCGGATTTACAGCCTCTTCCTACGATTAAGCAGGTCACTTCTGCGCCTTTGCAAGAGAAAGGTACTAATGATGTTGATCGACTGCCCCGGTTTGCGTTCTCGGTGGTTCAAAAGACTCTCTCATCGAAGCTCAGACGGGGAGGTGTTGTTAAACAGGCCCTTGAGGCTTTACAGTCTTCGACGATGCGGCTGAGAGCTTCGGATTCTTCCGTTCCTCCGTATTCAGAGACACAGGCATATTTCTGGATCCAGATCATCCACGCTTATACCCGCTCCTTAGAGGTTGAATCGTCCGAAAGCCAATACACCACTTACGAGGCGTTCAAATCCCTCTTCGACATCAAGGGTGGCGAGTGGAAAGAATACTACTCCCAGTCAACATGGGAGAGCATCGCCGCTCGAATGACATTCGTGAACCCCGACAAGAAACCCCTCCCCAATATCTTCAACCTACCCTCACAAGCAAGAAAAGACCTCGCTGTCTCACAAATGATAAACGCCGCAAACCACCGCTCAAGAAACACACACCTCCCCCCCTCCGAAGATCTAGACTTCCTAGCATCCATCCTCATCGACGAAGCAAGACTCATCCCCGAGTCCGAACTCAACGTCGCCAGCCACGCGAGCCTCATAACCTTCCTATTCAACCGTCTAACAGAAAAGACCAAATCTACCGCTACGAGCACAAAACGCGGTGATGCTTCGCTGGCGTCGTCGACGGCGTTGGAGATTGCCAAGTGGACAGGTTTGACGCAGGCGATGTTCTGGGTGCAGCAGATCCAGATTGCGCTTGCTGGGCGGAGGGAGATGAGTTTTGAGGAGTTTATCAAGGGGAATTCGGTTTTGGCGTTTGAGGAGCTGCCGTTTGTGTATTATTCGCCGCAGCTGTGGGGGAGTGTTGAGGCGAGGGATGGGTATGTTATGCCTGATAGACGGGGGCTTTCTAGCATTGTAGCCGGGAAAGGCAGACAGTAATGAATGGGTACATTAGGAAATCAGAAGATGTTTAGTCATTTAGAGTCCTTGGATATGGGATATGCCATCGTGTCTAGAGTCAAGGTGAAGCTAGCTCAGTAATGTCTGTCTCAACCTACACTTCAAGGACCAGGAACCATCAAGGCAACGCTGTTAATTGCTCTATGATCTTTGTCTATGCTTCTAACGCTGTAACACGCTTCGTCTATAAAACAAATGTCCTCAACTCTAGTGTCGGCTTCAGCTCAAACAGCTGTTCCATGATCAACCTCGACATCCCCCCCTCCAAGCTGACAATCACACCCCAAAAACCTCTTGGCCGCCTCAACATCCTCACCAAACGAACCAAGTATCTTGAGAGCCTTCTCCGCAGCACGCTGCTTAGAGTATCGTCCACTCTCAGATGTGTCATCCGCGATGACCTTTTGATGCACCATAAACACAGCGCACATTTCTGTATCTTTCAGTGCCGCCATGCCTTGGTCAGCACTGCATGGTACAGCTTCTGCGCTGATGCGCCAGTTTGTGCAACCGAATTCCTGGTGCATTTTCTTGGAGAGGAACGTGACTGGGTGTTTGTTCGCAAAGGTATCGTAGAGCTTCATGTCTTGGAAGTATGGCTGGATGAACTTGGTGAAGAAATTCTCGACGACCGAAAATTTGTACTTTGAATCGACAAACATGGCTCCAACAAGAGCTTCAACCACATCGGCGTAGACTTTTGGTGCCGAATCTACTTTGAGCCAGAAGTTCTGGCGCATGGGAGTTCCATCTTCCTTTGCCTCTTGACGGGCATTCTCTTCAGCAACCTCGAGTTCCACGACATAATCTCGGATCTGACTAAGGAGGCTTGATGTACTCGAAAGTAGATGTCGGTGCAGACCAAGCTTAACGCAGAGACAGCCAAGAAACTGATTCGATACCATGGCCATCTTGTGTTCCGTCAGCCACTGAGGGTCTGCCCTGGGGAAGTTTCGATATAGATAATCGACAATGGCCATGTCTAGGAGTGAATCGCCTAGAAACTCGATGCGTTGGTAATCTGGCACAGACTCATACGGCCATGAAGGGTGTTTGAATGCGCTCTGTACAAGTTGTGCAGACTTGAAGCGGTACCCTGTCGCTTGTGCCACCTTTTGTACAAGGCTGCGCTGAGAGGCAGATGCATTACCTTCCTGCCACTCAGGAACCTTGTAGGCTTTATAGTAATCCTTGAAAGCCTTCATCCTGTGGTTCTTTGACTTGGTCATCCTCGTCACGGCTTTGACAGCCAGATCCATGTTGCTGTCCTTGCTTGTGAGATATGCCGCTCCAATGAGAGCTTCACACACATCCGCAATCGTCTTGTCAGCCAGGTTATGCTTCATTGAAGTTTTCGGTGCCTTTCCTTTCTTGAGCGGAAGATCGGGGTACCAAGTTCGTCTGTCGAAAGCCTTGGATCGAATGAACTCTTGTAGTTTGCGATCAACCGCATGGTTGAAGAGGTTTTGGTTGCAAATGAGAAGCATGCGCTCAACGTGGTATTTGCACTCGTTGCCATCGGGCATGAGCGTGTAGATTGAGATCGTGGTAGCCATCTTCAAGAAGCAGTCACCGAGGAACTCTAATCGTTCATAGTTGTCGCCCATGCCAGTTTGGAAATTAACTTGTTCTGTGTCATGTTCTCCAGAGTTGTCGCTGTCTTTGGTCATTGCCTCTAGTGCTAATTCCGGTGGAATTTCAAGGCCAAGAAGATTGCATGCATCCAAGACAATCAGGACGGAATCTATTCGGTGAATGATTGCTGGAAATGCCATGGCCATAGAGACCACGTCAATGGGTAGCTGCAAAAATTAGAAAAGCTTCAAGACAGGGACCTAACTTACAGGAGACACATGGAGAGGTTCCAGAATGATAAAACACTCCATGTTGACCTTCTCGTCAACCTCAAACTCATCCAAAAGGTTTCGTCGTAGCGAAAGCAACTCCGCCTTGACTACAGGCTGATCATCCCGCCACTTCACCTTTTGACGAGTTTTATGATATAGACTGTTGCTGTATTGCATGATTGTCGGTTCCACAAACCTATAAGCTCGGCTTCTTGATTCGGGGACTCCTTCGGGTGTGGGATCGGAGGGCTTCTTCGTTTTGTCGATACCTTTGATGACAAGCTTGCGTCCTCCATCATATGGATCAGTCACAAGCTTATTGAAGAAGAAGTCTTCTGGCGCATTCTCCCATTCCAGTACCTCGTTCTCCCTCACAGTATTGACAACATCCCAGTCAATATGTGATCGAGTGTCCGACTGAGGATTTTCGGCGCAAGGTGCGAGGAGGTATGGATATTGGTCGGACGTGGTATCGTATTCTTTGCTGAACACATCGGCGAATACACGATGTGTGAACTTGGTCAATCCGTCCGCTTCTTCGGGGTCGAGTTGAAGAGCCTCCTGGATAGGCGTCAATTCAGCGATGGAGGAGTGTCCATTGCCAAAGAATAGAGGAACGCCTGGCAGTTTCGGCATTGGCTTGCGCGAGAGAAGCATCAACGACCTTCCGGCCACAGCCTTACTAAGGGCGCCCCCGTCCTTGATGGTGATTGTAGTCGCAAAGCATTCAGTCCACTCTCCTCGCTCAGCCCAAATCTCTGGCCGTAATCGCATGTCGTAGTCAGCCTTCTTGTTTGAACTCACAGCCAGCCGTGCGTTTCGCATAGCGTGGACCTTTTTCTTGAATGTCGGCTGAAGATTGCCGTCAACATGTTTGTCTCTGATTAGGATCTTGCAGGCTTCGAATGCTGCAGAGCACTTGGCCATCAATTTGCTACGCTGTTGCGTACCCTTGACAAAATTGACTGGAGACTGGAATGGCATTACCACGTCAGCCAGGTATCGATCGCCAACCTTTTGTACCTGATATTCAACTTTGGCGTAGCTATCAGTTGACAAGTGAGAAGCAAATCTGGCCAGAATTTCGAGACTGGCGGGAAACGTAAGGCGTGCGCCTGTCGACGGTATCTCGTACACTTGATGCTGCATGCGCTCAACCACCATCTCCATGTCCTCGTCTATCAAATCATCATGAAGTTTTCGGTCAGCTGAAAGAGAGAGGCAGAACTTCTCAAGGGCTTGTGAGTCCCTCAATGCCTGTTTCGCACTTCGAATATGTGTCAAATTGCCCTGTTCCATCATTGTGATGTATCGAGAACGTGCTTGTCGGGCGCGTCCTTTGGATTGCAAGTATTGGATGACGGAGTTGTAGAGATCGAAACGAATGACAAGGTCGCAATCTGGAACATCGATGCCCTCTTCTGCAACCGGGGTTGTGAAAAGGCAGTTGGTGTTGCCGCGCTTGAATTCGTGGAGAGCCAGGACTTGGTCTCGAAACGACATGGTGCCGACGCTCGAATTGATGGATTGACAGCCGACCTGGGATTGTTAGCAGAGTCAATGGGAAAGGCTACTACTTACCATGTATGCAGCAGACATTCCTGGGATCCTCATGAAAGGCTGGCTATACAGATCCGAAAGTAGACGGGCTGTGTATCTCTTCTCAACAAAAACAATGCAACGTTTGGTGCCGTCCATTGTGAAAGCGTGCACCAAGATCTCGTGGAGACTTTTGACTTTGGCGGAGAGACCGTCAGCCTTTGGGTCGACCGTACCAAACTTGTGAGCCCGAACAATTTTCTGGACACGCCGGACGGCCTCTGTTGCTTGATCTGCTCTCGTTACTGCAATGTCTCCAATAAATTCCCGACTAGTTCTGGCTGCGAGCCGTTCAGTCTCGAGATCGGTCATTGCAAGCTCCCAATAACGGTCCGCGCACCAAGTGCCGAGGACTGACGAGGCCTCTTTTGTGAATTCGAGCGACAACTTGAACTGTTCGTTGCGAGAGACCAAGGCAAAGATCTGGTCCCACAGGTGCGTCTTTGTATCATCAGGAGCGTCAAGCCTGCTATAGTTGACAGTTTCTTCGGTCTGCTTCTTTCGGTGCATGGTTTCCATCAGCACCTCATCTGAAATCGTGGCAATCTGGCTGTCAAGAGACCTCTCAAGCTCCAAGGCCGTGTCTTTCACGTCCCTGGTTCGCGCGTCCACCGGCGAAGCAGTCATTCCCAGTATGCGAGGCTTTTCGCCTTCGTGTTTGTAATAATACCCGTCCATGATACGAGCGTACGGGTGCTTCTTCTTTGTGTGGTGTGCTTCGTCGAAGATGAGGAGGTTTATTCGGGACATGGTGATGAAGCCGCAAGTGAGGCAGTCGAGGAGAATCTGGGCAGTGCAGACTACCACCATGTTCTCGCCAAACTTCTCATCCCAGTATTCTTTAGTCTTCGTCATGCCTTTCATATGGCCCACGAACTTGGTGACTGGGTGGGCTCCGAGGTTGCAGCTGAGGACTGCATGTTGCTGAACACAAAGGGCGACCTTTTCGACAAGGAAAAAGGCGACTTTCTTGGGCTTCCCGATGGCTCGAGCTTCCAACTCTTGTTCGAGGTGATGTCGTAGCAGCAAGGCCGAGATGAGTGTTTTGCCGGTGCCTGGACTGTCAGCAAACCTCCAGATGGGTGGCGGAAACATACCTGTGGGCAATACCACGAGGAGGTTTCTCTCTTTAGCGCGCTCGAACAGTTCAATCTGGTATTCTCGAGGCGACGCGATGATCTTGTGGCCCTCGTACTGGTTCATGAGCTGGGCGAGGGAATGTTTGCTAGGATCGCTGAAAGGAACGGCACTCCTCGCGGCGTCTCTCTGTGTCTTTTCTATGTGCGCCTGTAGAGCAGCCTGGTCTCGGAGCTTCTTTTCTGTAATCTTTCGAGGCTTTGAAGGGTTCACGATCAGGCGATATCGATCGTCTTCGTCATCAGTGTCGATGTACTCGTGGTCTGACATGTTGAGGAGTGGATTATTTACTACTGAAGGGTGAAGATACAGATGCTGTAAACATTCGCATTGCGAGAGCGATCAAAGGAATAGAAGAGACCTTTACACTGATGATTGCGGCGATTAAATGAGAGATGGGAGACAAGGAAATGATTGTCGGGGTGGCAGGTGCCTTGAGGTGGAGGCTACGGAGGGATGTTGTTTGGGCGGATGCTTGCCTTAGTGTAACAGCAAGAGGCTGCAACAATATCAATCACGGGTCACACCATTCTTGTTTCTATTAATCTCCAACTAGCAACAATCCTAGAGCAAACGCCGGGCAAACAATAACAAGAAACACACAGACACTATTTCGCAGTCTCAATCACTCTAAACACCACTGAAGTATCGCGATCGTTTTAAGCAGTTTTATGAGGATATCGAGTAGGTTTGGTACCGAATGCGGGTGCCACACTTATACAGGCCTCATAGCGTTCATCGTTGAGCCGCATATCAACTACACTCCATGTAATACGAGAACCATGGCCGAGATATCTCACTGCAAATCATCCCAACTTCCCCCAATTTCTTCACACCATTTCCTCGGAATGTCTACAAGGCCTCATTCGACTGTGCTTCTGGTCTCTAGGTACGTACCATTCGCCTTCTCCAGACACTGCCGCCTACTAAGCCAAGGTTACGCTTAAAATCGCACGTGTTGAGCAAGCCAATTGTTCACGGAGAATCCATGGCCTCAAAGAAGCCCGTCGAGCCATCTCGTGGTCCCTAATGTGCTCTAATGTGCTCAAAGAAAAATGATTTTCGACTCAGCAGGAAATTTCATACCATGCTGTGCATTCTGTCTGACACTGACCTCGCAGAGTTACGTCCCTGGGGGGTGTGGCAATAGTGGACTCAGGCAATGACACAATAAAGGTTCAGCTGCGCAAAAGTTCAATACGTTTGGAAAACTAGACAGGAAGTTTATAGTACTTCAAACCCAAATAAACAGCTCTGATTCGTTGTCCCAGCCTTGAGCTTACATCGGAATGTTTCAGATGTCAGTGCCTAGGTTTTCTCATTAACACGATTGCAGCTGCACCTCACCTCGGTGGCGCCTCACTTGATGGCCTGTTGAATCGATCCCTGTCGATTTATTCTGCTTTCCGTTCTCTTCCACAAGACTTTGGTATGTTTCCTCGTGGTAGTGTACTTCTGTAGATCTTTTTTTCGCCTCAATGCCCGTGTTTTATCAAATGAATTACTGATGGAAGGCACTCACCTCTGATATTCAGGGGGGGTTAAAGCCTGCCATCATTGGCACATGAGCCTCATACAAGAGACTCTTTGCCCTGTGTTTGACTCATTTGCTGACTTTTGTTGATGTAAGAGATTTCAGCACAGAGTATATCCCAAAATCAGATAACTCACTCGTGCAGTTTCTCTCTGCCCCATTCGCTCTTATGGCTCAAGGCAAGGGTTTGAGGCGTCTTAGTACCAATGTACTATCAGAAGACACCTCCATACATTCGGCTATGCCAGCTCTGCCCTTTTTATACTTCTATTAGTGACTCAACCTCAGAGTTCAACCCAAAAGATTCCGCGTGGACGAATAGATAATGATTCTCAATTGACTCCCCTGATACTTGGATTCACACTCTCGGCTTCATTCGCCCTTACGGCCCGAGGCAAAAACTTTGCATTTACGAATTTCTTATGAACCTTCAGACTACCCCTTAATATACTTCGTCACGCGTTCTCCTTCTCGGTGCCACTTTGAGTGACTCGGCCAAAGAGTTTTCAGCTTGAACCAATAGATGATGGTTCTTGGGTGGCCAGTCTGATGCTGGTGACCCCCATGTCCATGTTCTTCGCTCTTCTCACCAGGAGAATGGTTGCCTTCATCTTTTTGAAGGTTGATAGTAGCATCACAAATTCTGCCGTCCAATGTGCTTTCATCTTTACCAGCAGTGCTTAATGAACAGCCTCACAGTCGGAAACACTATCTTAGGGCTACACCTGAATTATTTTGTCCCAAAGACTATAAATATCCCCCTTCTCGGCAGCCTCTTCTTCTTCTCTGTTCGTATCTTCAAGTTCATCTCTACTCTCAATACTCTTCCACACATCACTTTCATACTAACAAGTATATTAATACTTGAACAACTTCTATTCTCTCTTCTTATCTTCAATTTGGCAACATGTCGACCTCTTCACCCTCAGACCTCGATGCATACAGTCAGCTTCTCCAGCCTATCGAAGAGTATGTTGCTCAGAACATAGAGCAAGGTCACGCCGCTTCGTGTTCTCCGCCTCCTGAGGATCGGGTCCCCTGGGATACACCCCCATCCACTTCCCTCTCCCCTTCCTCTTCTCCTTCCCCCTCCCCCAACGTCAATGGCAACAAGCCCTTGGCTCTTCCCGCCGAGACCCCTTCGGCTGCGGCAGAAACTGTCTTCCCCAAGAAAGACAACACAGTGCCGCAGCCCCAGGAGTCTCAGTTCGACCCAGCCGCGGCCGCCAACGAGGCCCTCAAGAGCGTGTCTCTTGAACTTGAGGAGGCATCCAAGCCCAAGCAGTCCCGGGCTGCTGCCAAGAGGGAGCCCAGGCAGTCCCGGGCTGCCGTCAAGAGGGAGACAGCCCCCAAGCGTGTCTCCAAGCGCGCCGCCAAGCCGCCAAAGCTGCTCACTCCAAACAAGCTGATGCAGCAAATGGACCTAGAGAGTTTCGGTCGTTTGTTGCCAGTTTGGGGGGCAAAATGGGCAGCTGATAAGGCTGCGAAGGCTCCTCAGGTGCCTGTTTATGGAGTCCCTGGTCAGCCTTACGGCCAGAATCCGTCACAGGCAGCCCTGGGGCTTTACCCTCCAGCCCCGGGCCAATATTCTCAGGCTGCTGGTCCTCTGTACCAGCACCCTCCTTCTGTCCCCCCTGCTGCTCCTTCTCTTGCCTCCCATCTCGCTCCCCCGGTTGCCCCGGCTCTCAATTTTGCTCCGGCTCTCAATTTTGCTCCGGCTCCGGCTCCGGCTCCGGCTCCCGTTCCCGCCTGGGTTCCGACTCCCTCTCCATTTCTCCCTTGCCCTCCCCAGATTCCTTCCCCTCCCCAGGCCCCCAATTACTCTATAGGTCTGGGAATAGACAACGGACTGGGGCAGCATCATTCGGTCGCCTACCCGCAACCTTGGTGGATGGAGCAGCCGGACTTACCAGAGGAGTTTCAGGGTTTTTAGAGGAGTTTTAAAAAGTTTATGATGAATACCCTAAGTTTAGAAGGGCTTGTAAAAGTTAAGGCCAGTTTAGGGGGCTATTATGCATTCTTAGGGGAGTTTTTGATCAGTTTAGACCTGTATACCGTCTTGGTCTGGAGTTTTGTTACAACATATATAGATGATCATTTCATTTCATTTATGAACAGAGCTATTCAATCACCAAGTGACGGTCCCCCTAAGTGAAAGCAAACTAGGCCAAATCGCTCGCATGCCAAAGTACATAATCCAACCCCCCCGTATCTAACCAGCAGTGAACCTTCGCCTCCAATCTAAGCAACATCTCCTCACTGCCGACCTCAACACCCACTAGATCCTCCCCTCACTCTCCCTCTTCTTGAGACTAGCCTTTCTCGGTCTCCCTCGTCCAGCCTTCTTGGGCGTTCTCTTCTTCGGGTTGTAATCGCCATCATTCTCTGGCTCGGGGACATCAATCGGCATGGTCATGGGATCAGCTTCTATCTCGCTCTCGATGTCTTGGGATGCCCTGCTCTGTCGTGTAACTGAGTTTGCTGTTGATTTGCTTCCCTTCTTTTTGAGAAAGCCGGACCAGTTGGCGTCGAGCATCTTCCGAAGTTGCTGAGATGGTGTAGAGTCGTCGATAGGGACTGTTCGGCCTAGGATGGTGGGTGCAGAGTATTGATTTGGTTGGAGTGTTGAACCACTTGCTTGGATGAATGATAAAGGTTCTTCGTCAGGGGCGGGTGTGAAGGCTGGATACTGTTCTTCTTGTTCCATGTCACTCTCTGGGACCTCTTCCAAATACACCGGCTTCTGGCGCTGATTCATGATGTAGTCGTATCTTGGGTCATTCAGAAACGCATCCTCAAAGTGAGATGTCAAAATCGTCTGAGCCTCCAAGCCCCTTCGAGAAAGCCGAGGCGCACCAGGCACCCTTCCAGCCGACGATGAAGCATTTCCTCTCGCCTCCTGTCTCTCAGACCCCTCTCCGTGCTCAACATCACCTCGTTGCATAGGCCTCCTTCCACCTTCAGGCCCAATAAGCCCACGGACCTGCTTTTGCTTTGCTAGGTAGTGAAACCCTGTGGGACAATACGCCGAGGCTGGCGGGTGCGGTGTTCTTTCTTCCTCTACAAGAGTAGACACTGTTCTTCCTTGCAAATGGGTGTAAGCTTCGTGGTAATATCTCTGAGAGACCATTTGTAAGATGTTTCGCTGATACGGGAGAGGCACTTCGCCGAGTGGTCCTGGGATGAGGGACGTCAGGGGGCGGAGTTGAGCATCTGTGGCAGCTTTTTCATCTTGTTGTTCATGGCTTGCAGGCTGTTTTCCTTTATCGCGTGGCTTTTCGTTCTCATTTTTATCTTCAGTTGCATCGTGTGTCGCATCCGAATCGTAGCCGTCATCTTTCATCGTAATGTCTTCGTCTGGGGCATCAGCTGGTGGAGGTGCAAGTCTTCTCTTAACAGTACCCAAGAATGGATCTCCCAACTCAGGATACCTGAATGGACCCGTAGGTGGTTCAGGAGTGGAAAACTGAGCCATGAGTAGTTCGACTTTCTCATGGTCAAGCCACCCAAGTTCCAACGAACCAAGCATCTGCTGTTTGTCGATAGCATCCTGGAGGATCTCCCACTCTATATCCAGTCGAAGAAAGTCAAGCAGGCCATTCTCTGTATACTCCAAAAACTCTTCAACTACACCAGATATCTTCAATCCCTGCAGAAACTCGACGCCTTTTTGTTTGTCTTGGTCCCGAACATTGTCAGTGCAGAGAAGAGGGCGATATTCACGTAGAAGCTCTGCGACAGTCTGTCTCTTCTCAAGAGCATATTCAAGCAGGTCAGCGTTAGGTATCTTCTCAATACTCTCTTGCCAGACCCGCCACTTGTAATATTCGCGGAGGTAAGTCTCCATAAAGTCCTTGACCTGTTGGTTGCTGAGATGCAAGATGAGACTGGCGACTTTTGCGAAGCGGTTTTTGTTGCTGAATACACGGAGGATAATCCACTTCACTCCCCAAGAGAGATCATCCTATTGTCTTTCCTGAGGCCGAGGTGTGGTGTTGTTGAGGTGCTCCATGATGGTGGTGTCGAGGTTGAGTATTGAGGACGCGTCGTGAGGTTGCCAGGTTGAAAGCAAGTTAGTAACAAAGTGAAGATGAAAAAGTCTGAAATCCAAATATCATATGTGTAGCATTTTATGTGAGCGATGAGAGCAAAGTGTGTATCAAGAATGAGTGAGAAGAGGATGAGATAGAGTTGAGTTGAAGTGTGTGAATGAAGGACGCGAAGATGTGGACAATCAGGGACCAAAAAACAACCGAGACAGACAATTAACAATCATGTGACAATCTATAATCCACGCCTGTTTGTTTATGAACTCCGATGATTCAAGAACTTGTTGTCTCATCAAGGTCGAATTGTCTGTCACTCACTGCCAGGTGTCTACAGCTGCCAGTCACACTTTAACAGTGTGAGTGAGCAGCTCATAATATTTCAGTGAGCAACTCGAGATAACAGTTTCTTTCATCTTTTATGAAAGAAGTGATAGCTGCTTCATTTATTACAACAAGAAATCTCAGTTAAGCACATAGCCAAACCCTAGACACTATCGGCTTCCAGGTTGATGAAAGAGTACATATATGCAATTCACTCATGATCATGGCTTCACTAAGCTTTAGCACTCAAACAGTTTATATTTCATTCATTTTCTCACAAATTATGAAGCAAAAACTGCGGTTACAGCGCCAAGCCAAGTATACATTTCATTCTTTGGTAACCCATTCCAAGTCGAACAACGCACACTTAGACAATATTATGAGATTAAATTCTAGCTCTCTAAGCAACACAACCGAGGACCCTCGGCATCTTTGAGACCATCGAGAAACACAATACAAAACAAACAATCCCATTGCCAAGATGCATCAGATATGAAAATCCGACGTTGCCAATATATATACAGGGTATCTATAACAGACCGAAACGCCACGCCTCTACTCGACCTTGAGTCAATCCACCCTCATCTCTACATATCCACAAACGGCGCAAACGATCCACGTCCATTGAATCGATCTTGGTCCAGCGCAAACTCCCCCTTATCATTAGGATCCTCACTCGTGTCCATCACATCATCAATATGCCGCTTCGTATGTGAGGCGTTGGGAGGAACAGACTGCTCCATAGCGACTTGCGAGCGCGCCCGTAAGATATCCTCCCAGCACTGCAGCTTCCGCTTGGTGTCCTCGTCGAAAGCGCAGCAGAACCGTTGGATGCTGATGAATTGAACCGCGGTGATCATGTCCTTTCCAAAGACTGCCATGATGTAGGCTGCGGCGATGGCGGCTGATCTGTCGTTGCCCGTCTCGCACGTGAGGAGGACTTTGCCGCGGCGGAATGAGCTTGGATCAACGAGCAGTTCGCCGTTCTTGTTACGACCTTTGGCTTGGCTGTGATACACGGAGAGAAGATGGTCGTTGATCAGCCGGATAATGTTGGGGAACGAACTGATCAGCTTATCGTTGCCCTCCAGATCGATGTATCGGACCTCAATGTCGAGCGTTTTCGCAGCCTTCTCAACACTCATGAGCTTGACCCCCGCCATGCGCGCATCCCTCGCTACAGCAATCATAGTGATGCCCTCCTCCTGCAGCCGCTTGATATCCTTGGCGGTGCTGTTGGGACCAAGGTACAAAAAGTCCACGAGCTTCTGGGCGTCACGTCGCTGCTCGTAGGACCAATCTGCCGCGCGATCTGTAGCGATCTGCTGCATGTTTTGCGTGATGATCTTGACATCGTGGGCCGTCAACTGACTCGAATCGACTTGTTCGTACGATGGGAGGAGGATGGGCGCAGCGGAGACTCCGCATTGTCCTGTCGGTGGGATGTGAATGAATGGCGGGCTGGGTGCTCGACGGACGTACGGTGCAGATGGCACGGCGTTGTTGGCGAAGGAGGGGTGAAAGCCGCTCGACGACTCCATTGCGATTGTCGTAAACACGGTATAACTGTAGAGACGGTTTTGCTGTACAAGAGACTGTCTACAGAGCAATGAGCAGTTGAAGTTAAAGCTTGGAGCTAGAGTTGTCAGCGTGAAAGAAAGTGGAGAGCCTCGCTCAGCTGAGATGCCCACTCTAAATAGGCTGCGGACAGGGGTCAATGCCTTGAATGACGACAAGTGGAGCAGCCCGGGAGCCCTACGGTCCCTGAATTTTGAGATCCAGGAGAGGGGTTCGATTGGCTACAGCTTGGACAAACCATAACAACCAACAATTAAAAGAGATGATCTGGCTCATTGGACGAACGAAAAAGTCTATTACGAGTGGAGGACAAAGGCTATTCATATGCTGCTGCCTGAAATTGTAGGCTACCTTCAAATTGGCGAATAAAGACCAGCTGGCTAAACTCTAAGGTACCTACATGTCTCAGAAGCATCAGACAAACATGTTGCACACTCGGTCTTAAAACATAGGCACGTGCGGGAATTTACCATGATATTTCATGACGCATCATCTATTGTACAAATGTGGTGATACATTGTTCTAGTAATAAAGTACATCCAATCCATCTCTATACAGTCCCAATCCAACGCCGTTTATATGCCATGTCATGTACTATACAATCATCCTGACGTCGGAGCAGCTGCCTTCCAGTCCAGCTCATCTCCAATCGGTGTATCATCCGACTCCTGCTCCAGATTCTTAAGGTCTGTCTCTCCCAATTCCTCACGCGATGTTGTTGTCTTGCGCGCTTCCTTTCTGTTCCTCGATCGGAAGCCCTTGAGGTCAGTTTCTGTGAAATCAAGCCTCTCCAGTGTATCGATCAACTTTTCTTCAACGAGGGATCGGACGTGGAATGCTAGCTTCTGATCGCGGAACATGCCGCTGAAACGATAGGATAGCCAGATATACTGGTTGATAGCCGCGTGTAGTGATTCAAGTCTGTGAAGATACTCCATCGACGTGCCCTTGAACGTCTTAAAGTCGATGTCGAGGTTCTCCAGGGGAATTTCTTTAATCTTGAGAAGTGTGCCGTCTTCGCTGTTAGCGACGATCCTGGCGAGGGCTCGAAGAACAGATATCGCGTTCTGAGCTCGTGTATTCACGGGCAAGTTGGTGAACAAAAGTCGATCATAGATCGTCAGAGGGATGTCCTGGACGTGATCGGCAATCTCTAGCTTATCTGGAGAGATGTGGATTCTGTACTGCTTGCTCACAGACGCCAGCTCTCGAATGCGCATGAGGATGAACGACAGAGGTGTTCCCTTGGGGAAGTATGTTGAGAAGCGCTCGATAGCGGCAGCCGGTGGTGAAATGTACGCAGCCTCGATATCATCGACATTGGCGTCAAAGGCTCGATGGACCGACCTGAGATCTTGGCTATCCATAGTTGTGACATAGCCAACCTTTTTCTCCTCCCCACTAGCAACCTCGGCATTTGTCCCTGCTTCAGCGGCGTTGCGAACAGTTCGATATCGTCCAGCTCGACCACCAATCTGCTTCAGCTCAGGATACGTGAGCATTCTGTTATGACTTCCGTCAAATTTGGCGACTGCTTCAAGAATAACTCGTCGAATCTCCAGGTTCAGACCCATGCCGATAGCGTCACTGGCAACAATAAAGTCGTAATCGTTGTCGGGGTCATTGAAGAGCGCTGCTTGCTGAACGCGCACTTCAGGCGGTAAAGATCCGTAAATAATCGCACATCGTCGCCCAGTCTTCTTCTCAATCGTTCGTTTCAAGGCGTGCAAGTTTAGACGGCTGAATGCCACAACCGCATCTCCCTTTTCGAGACGGCTATAATCACCGTCTAGGGCCTCATCCATGGTTTCCAGAGGACTTAGGCGATCATATCGGTGCACAATACACTTATCGCCAATACCTGCGCAAATGCTCTGGATCAGACTCACAGTTCGATCCTCACCACAAAGATGAACCTCCTTCGCTTGAACACCCAACAGCGCAGATGTCCAGGCGCTACCACGATCCGGATCAGCCAGCATCTGAATCTCATCAATGACAGCAACATCATAGCGCTCATTGAATGGGACCATTTCGACCGTACAGCTCGTGAAGTACGTATCCGTATCTTCCGGCAAACGAACTTCCTCTCCCGTCAACAGCGCACACGGCAATCCCTTAGCCTTGAGTCTCTGGTAAACCTCGTTTGCTAGCAAACGCAGAGGCCCCGCATAGACTCCTCGCTTCGAATTCTCCAACGCTTTCAAGGCTCTATACGTCTTTCCGGAATTCGTCGGTCCAACGTGAACATGGATCGTGCGCTGCATGGCTCTCGTCGCAGGGAACCATTCATAGGGAAACCGAAAGTCCAAAAGGCGCTTGTGGCTCTCCTCCAGGCCCTTTGAGAAGCGCTGTCGAATGAGGAATGACTGAAAGGAGTACTGGATCTCGTTTGTGAGACCCTTGATATCCTTCAGGATGAAAGCGTCGCGAAGATTCCAGAACAGGGGGTTCTTGACTCGATCGGTGATGTTCTGCTCGGCCATGTCGAATGCTGAGTCTAGCACCTTCATAAACATCGAAGCTTGCTGATGGAGCTCATCCTCTCCTACACCCGCAGCAGACACGGCTGATTTGCTAGCATTTTTCATGACATCTTGAAACTTCATCAATACAGTTGATCGGAACATTCCATGTCGACCACTTGACTTTTTGTCCATGCCGAATCTCATTCTCTTCATATCATTCTTCTCATCAGTTTTGGTCACCTAAGATTGGTAAGTATCATCTCTAAAATAAGAAAATAAAAACATACTGGCTTTAGAGGAAATTCGGACTTTTTCTCTCCAACCTTTCTGGCTTCCACTTTGTTCAATCCATGTTTCCTCTTAGCACCCAAAGGCGCTCTTGAAAGTCTTGGTGAAGTTGATATTGTCCTTCTCGTCACCGGAACAATAGGAGCTCGTAAAGCTCCAGCCCGGAGTGAAAAACTCATAACTTAAACACAAAGAGTGAGCCAAACATGCTCCCCTTGAAAAAGAAAAAAACAATCGTGAAATGACCGTGTCTTTGCACGAAGGCGACTGCGACTGAGTCTTGCCATCATATGAAAACCCGTCTCAAAAAATTCCCATGAGACGGAGATTCGTTCCGCCGGCCTCCGTGGGTTCGCATGAGAGTGGGGAATGACGCTGAGACGCCGCGACCAGAGTCGTCATTGTAGACTTGTTACTTGACTCTAACTTGGCTTGACTTGGGTTAATTATCTTGGTTACTTTGCTTCTATTTCTTTCTTCAGCCTCGTCTCGTGGGTTCATCTTGAATCGCCTTCATCTTCAACACCACTCAATCACTTTATCAACACTCGGACGCAGACTCGCCCATCATGGCGTCGTCATCGACTCCTGCGACTCCCCTACTCTAGTGCGTCAATCATCATCAATATTGACAAACACAGCTAACAATCTACAGTTCCTGTATCGCGCATAATACCACGATCCTCTCAGAATGCACAACATCGGCCTCCTCCCAAACCTCATCCCTCGCCTCCCTCATCCTCCCCAAGATCGAGCATACAAACCCTCAAAAGCTCACCTACACCCACGGCCAACACCAAATCCACTATGTCTCCGAATCTCCATCTGAACATCGTGATTACCCTTCCGCAGGCGGTCTAACATTCCTCGTCATCGCCGACTCATCACTCGGCCGTCGCGTGCCATTCGGCTATCTCTTCGAAATCCGCAAGCGCTTCCTGCAGCAATTTCCCGAGAGCACTGACTTCTCCGACATGCCCAACTACGGCGCAGCATCATTCAACTCGGAACTCAAGTCTCTTATGATCGAGTACGGTACTACAAGTGGAGGTCGCGACGATGCCATCGGAAACGCCAAGCGCGAGATCGACGATGTTAGGGGGATTATGACCAAGAACATTGAGAGTCTTCTTGAGCGCGGAGAAAGACTGGACTTGCTGGTTGATAAGACGGACCGTCTTGGTGGCAGCGCGCGAGAGTTCCGCGTGCGCAGTCGTGGCCTCAAGCGCAAGATGTGGTGGAAGAACGTCAAGCTCATGGCACTCTTGGCACTCGTAGTTTTCCTCATCATCATGGCTATTGTGATTGCTATCAAGAATGGGTCTGGTTAAGGTAGGGTTTTTGAGCGCGGAGCCATTCCTTTTAATATTTCCTTCTTGTTGAAACTGTATTTCCTAGGCGAACAGATGGGACGGACAACCCGGGCAAAAGGGTATAATTATGCAACAAAGTCCTCTTTTCAATCAAACTGATACCCCAATATCAATCCATCTCTCAATGTTGTCTTAATCGTGTAAAAGTGTCGTAATCCACCGCCCCAAACACTTGGCGTCTCATCCTTGGTCGCTGGGTTATCTTCACCCGAATGTGCAAATAAATCGTCGGTTTTGTCTCCGATCCTCCATTTAGAGTCTCATAGCTTCGGTTTTCTCCTCTCACTTTCCTGATAAACATATCCCAGTGTCACAGGACTAGCAACCGATCCCGTAGTCAAAGAAGTCGGCGCTCTTCGGAACCTGTCTGTGAAAAATGCCGGGTGTAGCGAAGAAGCGCAAGGAACAGGTTTGAGCGGCGGCGGTTGTGTCGCCGGAGGACAAGCAGCGCCCATTTCGATATTTTTTATGGCGAATAAATTAGAAACAGAGACTGAATGACGGTGAGTTCTCACATTCTCTGGGATTTGGGGGACGTAGTATTAAAGAGGCACGGTAGATATCTCACCTTGCGCCGAGGTCACTGTTGATCTTTCTCCACGTGCTTCGGTAATCACACCGATGACCTTAATTCTAGCGGCCGGAATGGAAGACTCGGAATGGATTGATGATGACGGAAGCTCACCGTAGCGTGTCTCATGTAACAAGGACCAATTGATAAGTCCGGGGAATCGGGGAGACATTTACCGAAGCGGGGAGCCCTGTACAACATCGAGATAGCAAATATAGCAAGCCTTGGTAATGTGCGATATCGCGGTATTTATTCATTCATTCATCCGATACACTATAACAATGCAACAATACGTCATACGAACGCTCACAATAACTAACCAATTCGCAGTCCCATCCCAACTCCAGCGCCTGTAGTCCAGCCATTCCCGTGAGAGGCACCTTGATCATCCGTGGATATACTAAACATAAGAAACTCCTTCATCCCCGCCATTGCTCCATTGGGTTCTCCCTCTCTTCTGCTGTCGCTGTGAACCTCGGTTGATAATCATCGTGGCTCCCACGATGTCTCCTGTCTTGTACTATGTCAACACCTGGCGTTGGCTGGTTGGAGAGAATTCTCTCTGCTTCGCCGTCGCCTTCTTCAACGTCTTTTCCATCTCCAAAGACTTTGTCCACATTGCCATCTTTCTCGATCCGTTGCATCAGATCCTGGTCTCCGGGGAAGTAGACTCGTCGAACAGCTTGAACAACCAGATCGATCACAATGAGCACGATAAGCTCAAGCAACACGAGCGTCCACCATTGTAGTGTGCGGCCAAAGTTATCAATAAAAGTGTCCCGGACAATATAAGGGCCAAAACTCTTGGGTTTGATACCTGATAAGGCCAGCATCCACAAGAACCAGCCAGCGACAGATATCAGACAGCCACCAAAGGTCACAACAGTTTTGGTGTGCACTTCAAGGATCCTGCAGCAGTCAGTACAGCTCAAAACGCGCATTGGAGAACTTACAAGAGCTTGATGTTGATGAAGATGACAGCAACAGTGAAACTAACCATGCCCATCGCAAAGATACTGTTATCCCGATCATAAAACATCTTATCGTAAACGCACCAAGTAAAGTACCAGATCACAAAACTCCCCACAACACCCATGAACATCCATGCAAAGTACTGCGAGAATCTGAATCCGAGGTTCCTCTGTCCAAAAGTGTACAATTCTGGAACCTTCATCAACGTCTCTGCACGAAGATCTTTCTCGAAAATACCGAGAAGAATAACAGGAAGTGACGTAAAGGCACTGTTGAAGACGGTCAAACTCCATGATTCGTACAGTGAAGTGCCAGAGTATCCGTTATAGCGCTGGTAATGAGCTTGTACAATGAAGAACAGAATTTCCTTCCAGAAAGTTGCAAGCACATACTTGCCGGTCCTCATGTAGTTCCACCGGCCATGAACGAAAAGCAGCTTCTGAAGGAATCGGAATTGGGCAATCGAGTAGTCTGAAATTCGAGCAGCCTGTAGACCCTCGCGACCAGAGATACCGATGCCAACATGAGAAGCCTGGATCATACCGATATCGTTCGCACCGTCTCCGATTGCCAGAGTCATGCTCTTAGGCACATATCTTCGAATCGAGCGAACGAGGTTGGACTTTTGCGAGGGAGAAGCTCGACAGCAGATGACAGAGTCAACACGTACAACAAGGTCGTAGAAAAGAAGAGACAGCTCATCATCTTCGTCGATCTTGGCGAGTGTCTGTCCATCGACAACCACAACAGAGTGCGGAACCATGCCACGGCTAACATCATTGAGAGTCGCAGTAATCGTCTCTTTCAGTTCGCCCAAAGTCGCATCAAGAACGTAAACCTCTGACCAAGGTTTACACACACGAGCAGAATGACCAATATTAATGGCCGTCTCTCGCTTATCACCCGTAAGCATCCAGACTTTGATGTTGGCTCGGCGCAGCTTGTCAATGGTGTCTGGGACTCCCTCCTGAAGCTTGTCTTCGATTGCCGTCGCTCCGGCAAGCTCGAACCTCTGCTCAATAAGCTCTCCAGCGGCTTCGATGCGTTCTTGACGATCGACCAAGCTTGTCTCAGCCTCTCTGTACTTTGCTTTCCAAGTGCGATAAGAGTCCTCATCAATGTACCGGTAAGCATACATAAGAGTTCGAAGACCCTCGCTGGCAAAGTCATCGACGTGTTGGAAGCACTTCTCAAACACGGCGCCTTCATTCGCGGCCATTGATTCGTCAATCTTGCGCTCAGCATCGTCGAATGAGGGCATTTGGGCAAGACTCTGTCGAGGGCTCATCATTTCGGTTGAAGTGCGAGGTGATCGGGCAAGCTGCTGTGACAGACGCTTCAGATCAGTGGAACGTCGTCCCAAGCTCAATCTAAGACCTTCTCGATTAGACGATTCAGCTCTGGATAAACCAAAACTGTTGCGAGGGCTTCCATAGGGGCTGCCATAAGGACTGACACTCTTTTGAGAGTTGATCCGTTGCAAAGCCTGGTCCTGCCGAGAAGCTCGTCGCTGACTTGCCCGACGACCGATATTCTTGGCAGTTTCTTCGGCGAGATTACTCAACTTCAGACGCTGCATGATGACATTGTCAGCACCCTTGCAAAAGACGCAAATGCGTCCATCAGGCATGCGAATGATGATCGACATTCTCTTCCTTTTGCTGCTGAACTCAATCACATCCAGCACCTGATACGTCTCGGTGTACAAAGAACCATCTGCATCTCGGGCCTCCAACTTGATAGCTTGTGCAGGCCGATCAATGACCAGGTATCCCAGATCTTTGGCAGCTTCAACAAGAGCAAGTTCATCGGGCGAGGCAGCTTGGAATGTGATGTCGCCATCATCAGTCCTCTCGGGAAGACAAGTGTGGCAGAGAGCAATACATAGCAAAAAGTGCTTTGCCTTTCGTGAGAAAGCAGTGTTGGGCTTCCTCTGAATGTAATCAAGGAGATCTTCTGTCTTCATGTCGGCGTTCTCAGCTGTGTTGACAGTGGATTGCCAGTGGCTTGCAGATCTTGTCGACATGGTTCGAATAGGCTCTGGTCGAGGTCCGCTTCCACTTGTATCATCGTTTCCGTCGAGAGTCTTGACATGGCCTGTGTTCTTTGCCGCAGAGAAGCTTGCCTTGCTTTTACCCTTTTTTGGTCGCTCCGACTCTTCGATTCGTCGGCGCATCTCCTCCTGGTCTCTCTGCACGTCCATATCATGCAGACAAGCAACACCAGCGACCGACATTTTGCGAAAACGCATGATGTTCTCTGTCAGAGTGCCCGTCTTGTCAGAAAAGACATAGCTGACTTGACCCAGGTTCTCGAGGATAGTGGTTGTATTCGCAACCATGGGCGTATCAGATATTGGATCATACATGTCCGCATCATTAAGCAAGTATAGCTGTCCCAGCTTGATAATTTCAAGACTGATATACAGCGACAAGGGAATCAGTGTGTTGAACATAATGATGAACCCAAAGAAGATTTCCTTAAAAGGGACGCTGCCATTATAGACACCAGATCGCCTGATGTACCAAGCGAAATCCTCAGTTCGATCTTTCCACAGGTAGTAACCAATAGTTAGACCCATTGTGAGCATGAGAACGATGAAGATTTGGACCATGATCATCCTGTTGATAACTGATTGCATAGCGGGTTTCTTGGCGCGGACATTCTTGTTGGCGTTCATCCGGATCTTGCACTCCTCGCCTGTGTTCACGATGATACCGAGGGCCTCGGCCGTATTCCGGAGAGTAGATCCACGGTAAACGACATTGTTCATGGACAGTGGTAGAGTTTCGCCGTCGACTGTTGCTCGACCATCGTAGCTGTAAAGGTCCAGGTTGGGGTTTTCGGAAACGACAGTAGCTTGTGTTGCACGAAGTCCTTCGAGGGTGTTGCATCGCTCGGCGAGCAAGGGGCAGGCCTGCTTGCTCTTGAGGTTCGTCTCGCCATCAAGAGCCATGGTGTCGATGTACGCAATGCCATTAGGGCCGGTAGCATGCAAAAGCACAATATCCGCAGGAACGGGGTCATCTCGACGCAATCGAATAACATCGCCAACACGAACATGCTGCCATTGTACCGAGGTCCAATCTCCCTTTCCACCCAATTTGGCGGTACCGGTGGTGCCTGACTCGAGATCATCGAGCATGTGCTCTTCACCACTCTCAGACGCCTTTTCCTTTTTCCTCCTCATTTTCTCCGCGTGTCTAACACGGCTTTTTTCCCCAGTTCCATCCGTCAAAACCCAAGCCTCACTTCGATTTTCCACGCGATCAAGTCGATAGCGCCTATAATCATCCCATCCTTCCTTGGCCATACTGAATGCGACGAATACGCCCAAAGGTGCGATAGTGGTCCATCTTCCGACAGTACTCAGACCAGGAATCATCTGAATAGTACCAACAACAAGGAAGTAAAAGTTTCCAAGCTTGCTGAACTGAAAGAGGAGTTGTTTCGGGACGAAATCGTAGATAGTGTAGCGACTTGACCGTATGAAATTGCTGCAGTATGGCTTTCCTGCACGCTCGTCAATAAGACCATTGGCACCTCGCTGCGGTGGATTGAGTGGAATATGACGGCCATCGGGTAAAGGCTCGAGTGGTTTCTGGCGAAGAATCGTCTCGAGAATGACCTTTTGGTGAAACTCTCCAAGCTGTTTTTTAGTGCGATCTTTCCATGTTGGTTTTGCGCCAGGTCCAATTCTTCGCCGACGTCTTTCTTGGAGATATTTCTTAATATCGGCGCGCACTGAGGATTTGTTACCGTTTCCGCCGAACCCAAAACTGGTCTTGTCAACCGGCGAGGTCAATTCCTTATCGGTTCGATCCGCAGAATCGGGAGGTTGGTCAGTCGACAATTCTGTCCTCGAAGGAATCGGTCGCAGTTCATAAGGGCCGCTCGCTCGCGGACGAGAACCCTCATCAGGTCGTCTAGTTCTGGACCTCGATCCAGATCTCACGTTTGTATCATCGGAAGATCGTCGCTGGCGATCGTTATTGGGGTCTGTGTAAGAGCGACCTGTATTCCGTGGTCTCGAGAAATTGGTCGAAGTTCGAGGATATCGCTCATCGAGAGCAGCGAGATCACGGGCTATTTCACCATCGGTGTCATTTCTCGGTTGCGAAGGACGTCGCCCGCTATTATCGCTGGGGTATGGAGGAGCCATGTTAAGGCCGTTGAATCGGCGGCAGCATCTGGAACAAACGTTGGAGCTGTGGAGTGGTCGTGGGGACGCGCCGGGTTCAGTTAGATTGGAGCGGTATTGAAACGAGATGATACCTAGGAAAGGTTTCCCTGTAATCCAGGAGAGAAGAAAGAAAATGAGAGAATAAGTCGACTTGCGGAGGAGTTGGAGAATGTGGATGTTTTGTCAGAATTGAGTTATTAGGCTGGCTGGGCTGGCTGGGCTGAGCTGGGCTGGGCAACGGGATCGTATACAGCCCGAAGCGGCCTTTGCTCCAAGCCAAGGATGATTCTGTAAGCTACGCCTGCCATTCGTAATCCTTCAATCTCCGCATTAAAAGCGTTATCACCCATTAACTCACTGTAGTTACTGCTCTCCTTCACTAACAATTCATCCCATCCGGATCTTCGGAACCTCGTCGTGTCTTGATAGTCCCCTCACGAATTAACTTTGCAAGCATGACGAGGTGTATTGAGGCGCAGCATTGTACTCATCACCACTTGTAATCCTCGCTGCCCGCGGGTACTGTAACAGACTCTGCGTCGTACAAGCTCGGCCTGATTGGCACCGTTAATTCCAGCCAAGTCGCTAACTCGTAGCTTAAATCAAGCCATCTAATCTGGCGACAAAATAAGCTCATGCATTGAATCCCGTTTCACCTAAAAACACTGGGGATTGCAGACCTGGGGAAATAACACTGAGTGACTTGTTCAAAGCAGACCCCAGATTAGTCTATTCTTGTCTTGAAAGGCTGGCCAACACTTATCACACGTGCAATCCAAGTCCAATCATATCTCACTGCGCCTCGAAATATACGCAGCTCGATCCGCAGCCGTATCAAGACCGTGAGGAGAAGATAAACAGGTGAAGACTCGAGGGCTTGAGTACTCGAGGATACGCGGCTCAGCCCTGGTGGTACAAGTCTCTTACACGGTTCGTTGTTACTCTCCCACATCTTCCGAGTGAGCCGCGTCACGACTTGGGTTATAAGACAATGACCAACCTTTAATCCATCCATCTTGGCAACTCATTAATATGGTACATGCTCTAGCTCATAAATGTGGTGATTATAAGACGATATGATACTCTGCTTGTTTATAAAAGTCCTCCCCTTTGAATCACATCTGCACATCTCGTCCAACCTGTCAGATACTCAGCCATGCTGATCTCTGCACTTCTGCCTCTCACGGTCCCTTCGGAGTCCGTTGACATGTCACCCAAGACTGCGCCTTGTAACATCTCTAACAACGATCCTACCTCCGAATCATCCGTCCCTGCAATTACAACTCACACAGCCTGCCACTAAGCGCTTCAAGCTTCGTCGCACAATCACAAAAGTCAATCACACAGGTAAACACAGTGAACATAACCCCATTTTATTTAACAATTCCACCCTATAAAAATACCCATGCCTTCGTGTCCAACTGTAGGCTTCCCTTGAAGTACACGTCTCAATTGACGCCTACCGAGGACAGCAACCCAGCTGCTCATAAACTCCAATGTGCCTCAAAGCACAACAGACAAAGAAAATATCCCAAAGCCCACCATTAGAAAAATGAACCTAACAAAAGCCGCCGGGGCTTCTCCCCAACTTTCGACGTGATACAAAGAAAACAAGCTATCGAAATATTAAACACCACCATCTGTGCTTTTACAAAGACAATGTGTATGCAGATTAAGTCCAGGACAGCGTGCGGTGGTCAGGCAACGCTGCTCAAGGAAATGAAGCCGAATGACAGGGTCGTCGGTTGTAAAGTGTTGAACAAGACCACCCAAGAAATAAACAAGTCGCGGTAAAAGATTTAAAATGAAAGTACTTCAACGCGGGAAAGAGTTATACGATCGCTGTGTTGTGCCCGACATACATGACCGATGTCAAAGAAGTGTATCGTCATGCAAGTTCATTCATGGCCGTAGTGGGGAGAATCGACCAAACTGACACAATCAGTGTCAATACTGGTCTGGTAGAATTGAGAAGATGACAAGGAAAGTCGCCTATATGAAGCTGGCGGAAAACAAGAAAAGGAAATCCCAATGGTATAATTTGCCCAAACGCCCTGGTATGATTGACATACTACAAAACACCACCAACACCTGTACCCGCCCTATACTCTTTTAGTTTCCTTGGTGAGCTTGGGGCATTGCCTCGGGGGATAGGCTTGAGGGGTCAACTGCGTCAAACTGCACAAGCTGATCCATGTCCAGATCTGCTTGTTGGTGTTGCACGAAACCAGGCGAGGTTGTGTGCATGGGCAGGTTGATGGTGTGCTTAGAGTACATCTCATTCAGGCTCGCTCCATCCTCCGAAACAGCACAAGATCCGTCGTTCATGGGATACAAATCAGCTGAGCCAGGGCGGCCCATCATTGACATGGGAGGGGACTGCTCCAAAATGGAAGGCTCGCCAGGGCTGTTGAATGGGAGAGGAGAAACAGAAGTGGGAACACCTGTGTCGGGGTTAACCATTGGTGACAGGAAACCATTGCTATAAGGTGTGTTGTAGCTCGACTGAGGAATTTCGGGACCAGGGGGGAAGAAGCCTGGGCTGGGAGGAAACTCGGCAGGAGAAGCAGTGGTGGCAGACATGGGGTATTGACGCATGTCGAGGCCGAATCCTGCCTGTGTATCAATGCGCAGATTAGGAGCCATGTTGTTTCCAGGAGGTTGAGGAATAGGCGCAAAGATGTGAGGGTTGTGCTGGGGGGGAGGAGGAGGCATCTCTCCAGGAGGTTGGATGTAGAAGGAAGGCATCGGCTGGTTCTGGAACATGGCGAAATCAACAGGTCCAGGAACTGATCGCGAACGTTGACGCTTGTGGCCAGGTCCAGGACGCATGCCAGAGTGCATCTGGTGAATACCCCACTGCTCCTGGTACATGCCGACATGAGGTTGAAAGCTGGGCTGAGATGAGGGTCGGGCGGTCGGGGACACAGGAGCCGAGACGGAGAGGACGTGAGGGTCGTTGTAGGGGTGAGGGTTGTGACGGTTCATGAATGACTCGAGAGAAACCAGCTTGGCAAGCTGGCCACTGAGAACCTTGGGGTTTCCGCCGAGGTGGTGAACCAAGCACTGGGTAGCCTGAAGATCCTCTGTGAAATCACCACACTGGAAGAATCCGTTGGTGGTGGGAGATGAGTCCATGAAAAAGTTGGGGGGCCTGTTCAACTCAATGACAATCCCCCCAAGCTTGGTTGGGTCTCCTTCGCCATTCTCGAGGAAGATGTTCTTGATGGAGGAGAAGGGGTACTCGATCTTGTAGCCGGCCTGCTCGTTGTTGATGTAGTAGGTCATGGTGCACTTGTCGGGTGAGTAGAAAATGATGAGATCCATCGTGTTTTGTCCAACTCGAGTCCACTTTCCAATGCTGAGGGATCGGCAGGTAAGATGATGAATCACTGCTGTTCAGTTAATAAACCGTTTACGTGATGGGTCGAAATACTCACAAACTTTACCCTGACCTCCCTGGTCACCACCGAGCATCATGTTACCGTGGCCAAAGGGGAGCAGTCCAGTACGGCCGAGATAACTTCCGCCGAGTCCCTTGCCAGATTCCATGGCCTGCATAGCGAGATAGGCTCGCATTGACTCGGGAATTGAGTCAATGTCTTCACCAGTCTCCAGACTCTTCTTGGCCAGCAGCTTAATCTTTGCTCGTCTACTGCTGTCAGCGAAATTCTGCAAGTCTCATTCTCTCACATACCTGTTCTGGAACCAAATCTGAACAGACCTTTCGGTCATGTTGATTTCCTCGGCAATTCTCTCACGGACAGTAGCAGTGGGTGTGGGGTTGTTGTTGAATTCCATCTCCAATGTTGTTAATTGATCTTGTGTAGCACGCTGTCGCTTCTGGTTCTTTTGCTGTTGGGTGAGAGTGCTCTTGCGGGGAGGTCGTCGTGAAGCATTGTTGGCGGCTGCGGCAGAGGGAGATGGTGTCTCTTTTTTCATGGAGGCTGAGACAGGGGTCGGGACAGATGGTGAAGATGTTGAGTTGGGTGTGGTGACCTCGGGGACATTGCCCAAGGCCATGGGGTGTTCAATCTCCGTGGCCATTGCTAAAAAGTAGATTGCGAGATGCGATCACTAGATGCAGGTTGAAATTATAAAATAAATGAAACCGGTCGAAATCGGATGCTGTAAAGCGGTTGTCGTCGATTATACTTGATGCAGACGCGTTCAAGTGAGCTGGATTATCAGACAGAAAAGACGGCGGTGCCAAAATCGACGAGTCGGTAAAGGAGCGTAGTGAATGACACGGTAGTCAGTTCAAATAAAGAGTGTGTTCCTTGATCTGCAGAACAGAAAAGGAGGTAAGAATAAAGTATCGTGATGGCGGATGTGCCGGTCTCGAACGGTTTTGGGCGTTTTAAAAACGTTGTGGACGTGGGAACGATCCTGGTGTAAGAGCTGTTTGAGCTTGGTAGAGCCTAAAGAAAGGAACGGACCCGGAAAGAGTGACGGGAACCGAAGATTGGCTTGAAGATTGAATAATTCAAGAGAGTGACTGAAGGAAAGAAAAGAATGAGCAAAAAGACGAGGGAGAAGAAGCGGAAGAAGCGGTCACAAGGAGTGTGGACTGGAGATGCAAGTTAGAAAAGAGAAACGGACGGGGCACGGGGACGGGATGGGGGGAGTCTTCAAAGGAGAAGAGCCGTTGCCGACAGAGTCTAGAGGCCTACCTGTCTGTACCTAGTGGCTAGTCCTGCACCTCTGCCTGCACCTCTTGCTGCCGTCCCCTCCACGGGCGGGCACCTCGATCGGAGAAAAGGTACAGGACTCAGACCAAGGTACCACCACTAGCAGGTAGTGTGGGGACACGGCGCCGTGCTAAAACGCTCAGAAACTGGGAAAAGGGAAAAAGGATGGAACCTCGACTCAATGTATCCTGGCGTCAAAGACAGAGGTGCGGGTACCTGAGTAGTGGCTTGACTGAGTTACCTAGCCCCAGGTACCTCCGACTCCTGACTGGGCGGGCGTGATGCGCT